AAAGTATCCTGGGGCTTACAGCTTCCCACACCTCACCGCCACGCTCCCACGCCCCCTTCATTCTTTTGTTCAAAAGAAGAGCCACACCCTGTTGTTTGGCAGTCTCCTGCCCCGAGTAGAGGACTGTCCACCCCTCATTGTGGCAGGAGCCAGAACCGGTCCACCGGACCTCCTGAATGCCACAGAGATCCAGGCGGTACCGGTCCAGCTCCCGACAGAGGAGTGGCAGCCTCTCCTCCGCAGTGAGCGTTCGAACATTCCACGTGGCCATCCGCAATGGTTTTTTGTTGTTTCTGGAGGAGCCCCGAGGGTGAAAATTCAATCTCCTGGCTCCGCCAAATGGGGTTTGGCCAGGAGACGTCATAAAAGCCTGACCCCCCGGGGCCTCCGGCACAAGCTTATTAGTTACCGGTTTATGTTTAGTTTGTAGTTTACTGGTGGTTAATTGAAGGTGGAGGGGTTACCAGCCCCTCGCACCCGTCCAGAGCCCCCGTTTAGCCACTGTGGTGGACACAGACGCCATGAGGGGAGAGGCCAATGGGCATTGGCCCTCCCCCCACAGCACTGCCCACGACAGTGTTGCCCGTCCGGCACCGCGAGGAGGTAGGAGGTTGTTTTGCCGGACACACATACACACACGTACATACACACATACACACACACGTTTACATGATTACCGCTGTCATCATTATCATGTCCACTTGTTCACCCCGGAAAGCCTCGCCGAGTCTCAAGTCTGTTTTCCAGGAGGGTCCTGCAAAGTGTTTTGAATTCGTGGGGCGATGCTGCCGCCGCTGCTGCTGCTGCTGCGTGCTCCGAGTGGAGTGATTTGCGGTGTCATTATTCTGCATCGAGGATGTGGTTTGGCCAATACGGGTCACACTGCACGCGCGGGGTATTTAGCGATTGGAGGCAACCGGAGAACCCGCAGGAAACCCCACGCAGAAGAGGGGGGGAGCGTATTCTTTGGTTCTTTCGGTAAAGTCCCGTAGATAGAAAAATAATAATACAAAAGAAAGTGAAAATAATAAAAAAAACGAATGTAGACTGTAGCCTGGGTCTTAATCGGAGTGAGTGTACTGGCAGTCTATAATGTAGACTGTAGCCTGGTTATGAAGCTGGGTGAGTGTACTGGCAGTCTATAATGTAGACTGTGGCCTGGTTATTAAGCTGGGTGAGTGTACTGGCAGTCTATAATGTAGACTGTAGCCTGGTTATTAAGCTGGGTGAGTGTACTGGCAGTCTATAATGTAGACTGTGGCCTGGTTATTAAACTGAGTGAGTGTACTGGCAGTCTATAGTGTAGACTATAGCCTGGTTATTAAGCTGGGTGAGTGTACTGGCAGTCTATAATGTAGACTGTAGCCTGGTTATTAAGCTGGGTGAGTGTACTGGCAGTCTATAATGTAGACTGTGGCCTGGTTATTAAACTGAGTGAGTGTACTGGCAGTCTATAATGTAGACTATAGCCTGGTTATTAAGCTGGGTGAGTGTACTGGCAGTCTATAATGTAGACTGTGGCCTGGTTATTAAGCTGGGTGAGTGTACTGACAGTCTATAATGTAGACTGTAGCCTGGTTATTAAGCTGGGTAAGTGTACTGGCAGTCTATAATGTAGACTGTAGCCTGGTTATTAAGCTGGGTGAGTGTACTGACAGTCTATAATGTAGGCTGTAGCCTGGTTATTAAGCTGGCTGAGTGTACTGACAGTCTATAATGTAGACTGTAGCCTGGTTATTAAGCTGGGTGAGTGTTCTGGCAGTCTACAAACTCTACACAGAGAGGCAGCACAAGTCTCACCCAGCCCCTCCTGGCTGTGGGGAGCGAGTTGCGATCACGGTGCAATCGCCCTGCAGCCTGACCAGCGGCAGGGGGGATGGGAGGGTGGTGAGGCGACAGGGGGGATGGGAGGGTGGTGAGGCGGACTGGCAGCGAGGGTCGTGATGCACCGCTTCAGGAGCTGATGATGGTTGTTTTTTTCTCTTTTGCAAAAACTGCAGATTGGGCTGAGTGCTTTTGTGTACACGGGGTTTGTGAATCGTTGGTGACTTGTAGAGGCTGAGGCAGGCGAACACGTGAGAGGCAGGCGGTGGGCAGAGGCGGTGACACAGAGAGGCAGGAGATGGGCAGAGGGAGAGGGGGGAAGAGAGAGAGACAGAGAGAAAGATGGAGAGAGAGAGAGACAGACGTGGAGAGACAGAGATACATATACAGAGACAGATACGAGGAAGATAGCGAAACTGACAGGGCAGAGACAGGGGGAGAGGGATGGGCAAAGATATTGAGAGGGAGTCCGGGAGAGACAGAGATGCAGAGAGTGGTGCAGACACGGGGAAAGATGAAGGGACAGGGAGATAGAGAGAGAGACGGAGAGAGATGGAGAGAGATGGAGAGAGAGATTCAGAGCGATAGAGAGAGAAACATGGACACAGTGAGCGACAGGGAGAGAGACTGAGAGAGAGACATGGACACAGGGAGAGAGGCTGAGGGAGAGAGACGGGGAGGACGGGGTGAGCGGGCTGCTCGCTCTCCGTGCACTGATTATTAATCAGAGACGTGTGGCGAGGGGGGAGGGGCGAGGGGGGAGGCGGGACGGCTGCTTCGTCAGAGGAAGGCTGTTTGAATGTTTAACTTCTTTCGCACCGTACGTAGCCAACCGTGCTCACAGGAGGCGCCGGAGTGATGAGTATTCGCTGCTGCTGCGTTGCGAACGGCAGCACTGGACACGCACCGCGTCACAGCCCCGTGTGTGTGTGGCCTTCAAGAGAACAATCTATGGTAAGCGACGTTTCGGGCAAAGGCCCTTCTTCAATTCAGTGAATGGAATGAGCTGCGAAGGGCCCTAGCCCGAACCGTCGCCCACGGTCAACGTTCCCCTTGTGGGGGGGGGGGGGGGGGGGGCGTTGCTGAGGACGGCACGAGTTGAGACTCGTCCCGCGGTTCGTGCCCTCCGCTCTCAGCCCGGGGCAGCAGCAGCAGCTGCAGCAGCAGCAGCTGCAGCAGCAGTTGCAGCAGCAGCAGCTGCAGCAGTAGCTGCAGCAGCAGCAGCAGCAGCTGCAGCAGCAGCAGCAGCTGCAGCAGCAGCATCTGCAGCAGCAGCAGCAGCAGCAGCTGCAGCAGCAGCAGCAGCAGCTGCAGCAGCAGCAGCAGCAGCAGCAGCAGCTTTCCAGCGCTCAGCCCTGCACGGCTCCGGCCCCAATAAAGAAATGAAGCCCCACTATGGACCCAAGGGCCCGAGTTCGAGCCCAGGTCACAGCCAACGTCGATGGGCAGTGACGACCGAACTGGGCTCAGCGTCATCCCTTAGCCAGCACTGCGCCGACCGCTACTGACCTGCGTGGTGAAGTATGGTCAGGTAGCCCCTCACCGTGCCGGACACGGTGAGGGGAGGCCATCACCCAGCGCAGTTGTGTGTGGGTGCAAGCCGCTCTGTGTGGGTGGAAGCCGCTGTGGTGTGTGGGTGGAAGCCGCTGTGGTGTGTGGGTGGAAGCCGCTGTGGTGTGTGGGTGGAAGCCGCTGTGGTGTGTGGGTGGAAGCCGCTGTGGTGTGTGGGTGGAAGCCGCTGTGGTGTGTGGGTGGAAGCCGCTGTGGTGTGTGGGTGGAAGCCGCTGTGGTGTGTGGGTGGAAGCCGCTCTGTGTGGGTGGAAGCCGCTGTGGTGTGTGGGTGGAAGCCGCTGTGGTGTGTGGGTGGAAGCCCTGTGGTGTGTGGGTGGAAGCCGCTGTGGTGTGTGGGTGGAAGCCGCTGTGGTGTGTGGGTGGAAGCCGCTCTGTGTGGGTGGAAGCCGCTGTGGTGTGTGGGTGGAAGCCGCTGTGGTGTGTGGGTGGAAGCCGCTCTGTGTGGGTGTGGGTGGAAGCCGCTCTGTGTGGGTGTGGGTGGAAGCCGCTCTCCAGATCCTCCGGTTTTCCCCTCCACATTGGGACTCAGCATCACCACGCGTTGAGAGTATTTCGCTGCCACACATTCCCACGTGACGAGCCACTTCGTTGAGCCATCAGCTGAGGCCAGGTCGCTTCTGAAAAAGAGCCACAAAGCTCCGTGAGCCGTACCCAGTGAAATAACGAGTTGAGTTGAGTCGAGCGTTTGCCCCTCGCATGCGTCCGGTTCCTTTGGATGCTCCGGTTTCTCCGTCCAGACGCTTGGCCAGTAACACCACCACGTGTCGTGGAACGCAGAGCTTGGGCAATTGTTGGTAATGCCGGCTCCTCCCCACCGACTGCTGCTGCCTCCCCGCTCGTCGTCTGTGGCTCAAGCAGCATGCACCACCATCACACCACCTCCGGGCATCCTCGCAGCACAGGATTTGAATAACCATCGAACTAAGACGGTCACCAAACTCGTTTGAAAACTCATTTCTGTAGAACTGATTCCTGTGTTTAGTTTGTCCACCATCCCCCGAACCTCCGATGAGCATGGTTGGCTACGTACGGTGCGAAATAAGATCAACACAGATATAGGTCCCCCGTATAGCCTTAACAGACTGTTGGGGCAAGTGCTGTTAGCGAGCACCTACGAAGGCCGGCTCGGCACACGAGGGTGTGGGTGGCCAATACCACGCCCGGCCGCCTTTGTCTCCCCAGTGGCGATGTTTACACATCGCACCGGGTATTAATTTGAGGCTGAGTCGACCTAGGGGAGTCCCAGGACCGGTTAAAGTAATCGTCACCGGGGTTGGCCGTGAGCGGGAATGGATCCCGGGTCGCCAGGTTCGTGGCCCAGCGTTCGGCATCCACACGCCTCGTCTGCTCCTCGCTCTCTCGAGACGAGGTCGCGGATCGCGGATCGCTGCGTCGCAGGGTCGTGAGAGGTGGCGGCGGCTTGCGGAGGCCTTCGTCCAGCAGGGGAATCATCATGGCTCCTGCTGCTGATGATGATGATGATGGAGCTGTCTGCGTAGTTAATCTTCCTCCGTGTATCCCCCTGTCTCCCTCTCTCCCTGTGTCTCCCTCTCTCCCTGTGTCTCCCCGTGTCTCCCTGCCCCCTTCTACCCCCCCCCCCCCAGGCTGCTTGTTTCATCGCGAGCTGTGCTCCTCCTGGGAGGTCTGCGTGAACGGTGAGAATACAACGCGCACACACCCACGCAAAGACAGAGATCCCTCATATAGCCTGAACAGCACCAGGCCCGGTCGCGTTTGTCTACTCCTATGTACGTGTATGTGTGTTGAACTTCTTTCGCACCATACATATCCAACTGTTCCCTTCATAGACAACAACAACAGCCGCCATTCGCTGCAAAGTGGCTGGATGGATCGTAGGCAGGCCAGCCTGTATGTTTCAAACCGGTGCAGATGTTCCTTTAGAAGGGTCCACGTTTCACAGGTTTAGAGAATGGAGGGCATGACTGTGGCCGAGAAGACCCGGAGCTTCGTGTGGAGTGACAGACCAGGTAGCTTCCACACAGCATTATGCAGCTGATGGGAAGATAATGCCGCTCTGCTGATTCACAATGGAACATGTGCTGCCAAAGCGAAGCTGTAATAAGAGCACTGCCCAGGTATAGGGCCAGTTGAATCCCTGTCGCATGCCAAGGTGACTAATGGCCTGCCCACCATCATGAAAGTCCTCAATGGTTGTGAGCAGAGGTTCAGGGACCCCAACATCATGGAGAATAAACCAGATTGTTGGACTATTGATGGTATCAAAGGTCTTGACCAGGTCAATATAGCAGAGATGTAGGTCCTGTTGAAACTCCCCGCACATCTGCTTTAGCAGACGGACAGAGAATGTGGTGTAAGTGCGAGAACGCACCGGCCTGAAGCTCCATTGGGGTTCCGGAAGTCTCTCCTCAGCCTGGTGAGGGTTTGACGCTCAGTAATCCTTTCCCAGGACCTTTCTCGGCACACTGGCCATCGAGCTGACCCGGTCGTTTTTTTTACAATCAGTGCGGTTCCCCTTCTTAAATAGGGGAACCTCACCAAGGCATCCTTGCAATCCTGCATAATCTGTCCTCGTGGTCCAGACAGTTGTGATGATGTCCCATCGGGCAGCCCGCACACAAACGCCACCCTCTCTCAGCAGTTCGCTTCAGAGGTCAGGCTCTGGATCGCCCTTCGCGCTTCCCCAACAGATGCCACGTCGGCCAGTCGCTCGCTCGCACGGAGCTGGCTGCCTCCTCCAGTATTTGAGGCACAACAGCCCCGGCAGGGTCAACCCCCACCTTGCCCCCACGATGTTTGAGCAGAGGGGTTTCCCCTCCCGCCAAGACGTCACAGAAATGGTCAACAAACTTGCAGATCAGCTCCCTGGGGGTTGGATTTCGGATCACCACTCTTTCCCTTCAGGGCAGTAATATGTATGCTGCTGCAATTAACTTTTTTGATGGAGTCAAACAGCGATTTTTGATCACAAGTTACTGAGGCGGTTTCGATCTCCTCGGCAACCCGCGACCACCACTTACCCTTGCAGCGCCACACGGCTCTCCGAACCTTCGAGTGAAGGCTGCGGTAAGACTTCTCATATTCGGATGTGGGACGCTGTAGACGTTGGGAGAGGCCTGTCACTTTCTCTCAGCCAGCCGGAACACCTCCTTCATCAGCCAGGGTCTCTGGGGAGGTCTGGACTGCGCATCCAATGCAGCCATGGCAGCTGCATGAGCCACAGTCCTGAACCTGACCCATTTTCCTTTGGCATCAGGAAGAGAGGGGGGGAAAGGACGATGCCAACCTCAGTTTGCAAGGTGATCATGAAATTCCGACTTGTAGCTTTCATCAGCGAGTCGAGACCAGGCCACTGTGGGTTTGAATGCGGCGCTCGGTGGACACCAAACACCGCAGTGGAAGAATGGCAGGCGCATCTTACAGATGACAAGCCGATGTTTCAGTGGGCAGATCAGATCCACGATAGGTCCTGGCTTCAAGGACATGGGCCCGCATCTGCTGTTCCGTCACTATATTGTCCAGCAGATGTTCTTGCTTGGACCCAGCGTGCATCCGTGATTCTGTGTGGATGTGCCGATGCCGGAACAGCAGGTTGTTGATTACAAGCCCATGGGCTGCACAGACGTTTAGCAGCTTCCTACCGTTGTTCTTGCGCTGATCTGGCCCATGCCTTCCAGTGACTCTGGCCCAGGTCACTGCGTCATGACCCACTCGGGCATTAATGTCACCCAACAGGACGACTCTATTCCGAGGGTCCACCTTAGCCAACACCTGGGACAGGAGGCCATAGACGCCACCTGACCCATCAGTCTTGCTTCAATGGCACTGATCACAACACACCACAGTATGACCGCCTGACAATCATCGAGGTGATGGTTGTTTTGCCAGACAAAAATAACAACAGCTGGCGTTCGCCACTAAGTGGCGGTGACATCACCACAGCGCTTGCGCCAGACTAGGTGCACCTTGAAGCCATGTGAAGCGTCTCGGTTGCGGACAGAATCAGCATCTTTATTGAGACTGAAGGAATCCGATGAGCTCATCACGGGACAGCTCCAGGTGCTATGGGTCGAGATGACTGTCAGATGCACCACCTGTACCCCACAGCGTGCCGCCCCGCTGCGTTCTAGCCACTCGGCGTGCCGATCGTTGTCGTGAGCGTCGCTCCTCAACCCTCAGCCGTTGCTTGAGGGCGACTGCCTCCCAACTGCCCAGTAGCGGTCTTAGTTCTTAATGGAAATAAACCTCGAAACACACAAGTATGTCATCGCACAAGAAACACACACAGAGACACACATAGAGACATGCGACACGCATATTCCCATGGTAACCGGTCCAGTGTGTTTCTATGGCAACTACTGTATTCCAGGATATTTCCATGGTAAGCCGGTCCAGGGTGTTTACATGTTGGCTGGTCCAGGGTCTTTCCATGGTAACCGATCCAAAGTGTTTTCAAGAGGGCGGTTACGAAGGAGTCTGCATGCAGGACAACATTTGCCTGTCTGCTCGGTCGTCACGGCAACAATCATCCAGCAGTGATGGGATTGTGGTTGCCATGGAAACCCTCCCACTGCTTCCTCCTTCTCCACCCCCACCTCCCCCACCCCGCTCACCCCCCCTCCTCCCAGGCTCCATCAGAAACAACAACAACAACAGCAGCAGTGAGATTAGGCAGGGGAGGGGGGCTCTCATTTACACGTGAAAAGAGGGGGCGGTGGGGGTCAAAGATTGGGTTACGCTGGCAGAGCTAGAGCCGGTAAACAACAACAACAACAGCAGCAGCAGCAGCGGTGGTGCTGCTGGCGCAGTGGTGACCAGCGTGCTTCACAGCGTGGGGCGCCTGGAATCTGTACGTACACTCTCTCTCTCCCCCCTGTTCTGCAGAGCGAGCGAGTGTGTGTGAGCGTGTGTGTGAGAGTGAGCGAGTGTGTGAGAGTGAGTGAGTGAGTGTGTGAGTGAGTGAGTGTGTGAGAGTGAGTGAGTGTGTGAGAGTGAGTGAGTGTGTGAGAGTGAGTGAGTGTGTGGGAGTGAGTGAGTGTGTGGTAGCGAGTGAGTGTGTGAGAGTGAGTGAGTGTGTGAGAGTGAGTGAGTGTGTGAGAGTGAGTGAGTGTGTGAGAGTGAGCGTGTGTGTAATGGAGCATCTTCGCCAGTTAGAAACATTTAGGCTGGCCTGCCTACGATCCATCCTGGGTTTAACCAGGCTGGATTGTGTGAGGAGCTCACAAATCCTTGAAAGATCTGGGCAAAGTCCCATCGGTGAGCTCCTCCGGCAGGCAAGGCTGCGTTGGCTGGGTCATGTAGCCCGCATGCTCAGCCACCGCATGCCTAAACAGCTTTTGTTCGGCTGGATCAAGGGGGCTAAACGGGCGCAGCACGGGCTAGAGAAGAGATGGAGTGATGTGGTACAGAAAGACGTGGAGCTGAGTGGACTTGCCGATGACTGGTACCAGCGGTGTCAAGATCGGCCTCTGTGGAGGAGGCTCGTGAAGGACGCTACTGGGCAGTTGGAGGCAGTCGCCCTCCAGCATCAACTGAGGGCGGAGGAGCGACGCTCACAACAACGAGCAGAGCGCCGGGTGGCTAAAGCACAGCAAGTTGGTACAGTAGTGGGCACAGGTCATCTCGGTCAGTCGACCCGTGGCACCTGGGTCTGCCCTGTGACCTCCTGCCAGCGGGCGTTCGACACTTCACGTGGCCTCAAGGTGCACTTGGCTTGGCACAAGCGTCATGGTGACGTCACCGCCACTTAGTGGCGAATGGCGGTTGTTGTTGTTGTGTTTTCCACCTGTTCTACATAGTGTGTGTGTGTGAGAGATTGAGTGTGTGGGTGTGTGTGTTCTCCCCCTGTTCTACATAGTGTGTGTGCGGAGGTGTCTGGCGCTCACCGTCGGTGAGAACCCGCCGTTGTCACCGGCAGAACGTCCGGTTACCCTCTAGGGTTCCCGCACCGACCCCGCGGCACATGAGGCGTTCTCGGCCCTCGCGTGCAGGCGAGCGTCACTTCCGCCATGTCTCGCGCGCCCGGGCGCCCCTCGTGTGCCCCCCGATCGCGGCGCGAGCCCAGGCCGGGCCCCACGAGCCGGGGCGCGGATTCCCGTCCTCCTAATCCCGGCGTCACCCAGAGGACGGGTCGGCTCGCTGGATTCATCCGTGTCTGTCCGCCGGCTGGATTCACAAACCGAGAATGGGAACGGCCACTTCACCCCACGCGGCCACGGTCCGGGAATTGGCCTCCCCCGTGCCGAGACGGCAGCTCTCAAGGCACGCGGCGACATCGACGCGGCAGATAAAGGGGCCTCGGTGGTGGAACCGGCTGTGTGGGGAGGAGGAGTTGCAGCGACGGAGTGACGCCGGCTTTTACCACCTGGTCGGCGGCGAGCAGCGATGCCGCCACTCAGCTGGGACTGCCGAGAAGTTCGCAGCCCCGACCCCGCGGACACCGTGCGCGTCGTACCACACCGTGCGCGTCGTACCACACCGTGCGCGTCGTACCACACCGTGCGCGTCATACCACACCGTGCGCGTCGTACCGAAGAGCAGGCGGAGTGCACGCGCGCCAGGCCGCGAGGCCGTGCCGGCCCGCTACCCGTCCTAGCGAGCTCATCTCCAGACGTCTCGGACACATTAACAATTGACGTCAAAGACACCGGCCGCGCCCTCCAGCTCTTCACGAAGCGTAGATGCCCACACGGGTCCTTGGGTCGCCGCGGTGGCTAGGAGATGTTGACTACCTCGACTGGTATGCAGGAGGTCGTGGGTTCGATCCTGACCCTGATGCCTGCTGCTGCTGTATATTTGGAGTTTTTCGTCTCTCTCTGGTTTTTCCCTCCACATTTAGAATCAACACGCGTTTCGAGAATTTGGCTGTTCTAAATTCCCACGTGATGAGCCACTTCGTTGAGCTGTCATTTGCGGACAGGTCGCGTCTGAAAAAGAGCTACACAGCCCAGTGGGCCTTGCCTGGTGAAGTAAAACATAGTTTAGACGAGTTAGTTCAGTTTAGTCCATTTATTCTGTTCTTCACAATGGACACGAGTTCCCTCTTCACGCTGCCGGGCTATGGCCAAACTCATGCTCGCCCTCCAAAGGTTATTCACCTTCGGTGGACGCCACAGCGCCCAGGTGGACGCCACAGCGCCCAGGTGGACGCCACAGCGCCCAGGGCCAGTGGCGCGGGGCAGGCGACGTGGCCACGGGCCCACGTGTGTGTGAGCCCCCGCGGCTGTGCCAACCTGCTGGGAGGCTGCTGGGAAGACAACGGCCCACAGACAGGACCAGAGCCCACTCTCCGTTTGTCGCATCGATGGCGACGTGGGCATTGCCTCCTGCTGCGTAAAGGAATTTAATGCCTTCTTAATTCAATTTGTTCACCGTTGTTTGTTGAAATCGGGTAACATGGTTCACTCGGTTGTTTATCAGACGCCAGCCTCTCCTCTCCGGGCATCAGAGACCGTCCGTCCAAGATAATCATAATCATAAACTCACTTTTCTACAGCGCAATGCGAACAAGGCCTCAACGCATTTTACACGATGCTCAAGTTATCGAGAAAGCCTGTTGTACAGAAAGGCGAGTTTTAAAATGCCATTTAAATAGTGTCACAGACTCGGAGTCCCTAATGGACCGAGGAGGAAGGGAATTCCACAATCACAGAGTCTGGCTGTAAAAATCTCTCCTCAACAAAGTCCGGTTTTGGAAATCAGAACAACAAAGTCCGGTTGTGGAAATCAGCACAAGTAGTGGGCCATGATGATGATCATCATGAGTCGTGGACCAGAATCAGCAGACCTAAGTTATCGCTGTGGAATATCTCCATATATATAAAAGGGAAATTTGTGATTATGTGTGTCTGTTCAAAATGTTTAGCGTATTTCCCGACATGCAACAAACTTCAAATTTGCCAAGTGGGTACTTTCCAGACTGTACACCATGCACAAATTATTTTAATAGACTTTGGTATTTTTTTTTGGGGGGGGGGCGCAATAATGCATATTTTTTTCACGGCTGTGACGTCAAATCTGTCATGTGACCCGCTCATGCGTAGTGGTTAGCGCGCTGCGCTACGAACCCAGCGACCCACCACCGGTGACGATTATTTGAACCGGTCCTGGGCCTCCCCTAGGTCGACTCAGCCTCAAACAATTAACTGGTGTGGTATGTGAACATCGCCACTGAGGGGACAAAGGCGGCCGGGCGTGGTGGATCCAAGTCCCGGGCGAAGCCGGGTAGTCAAGCTCGTAAAATATAAACAGATCGGTGGTGAGATGTTTAGGAGCCAACTCATTGAAAGCCTTAAATGTGAGAAGAATAATCATAAAAGTTGATCGATTCTATACTTTACAGAGAGCCAGTGCAAGGAGGAGGGGAATTGGATTTAGATCTGGGGTTAAAACCCGGGCAGCTGAGTTTTTAATATATCGTCGTCTGAGGCATTGCAGTAATACAAAACCTGGGGGAGGGGGGGGTCATCAGCGAACACGTTGACGAAGTGGATTGTCATGAGGCCCCCTCGAGATATAATCGGTGCAGCCTCTAACTCCCATCATCCACTCCGTCTCTCTTTACGTGCTGCGAAGAGGAAGGGCCATTGCCCGAAACGTCGCCCAGTGTACATTTGTTGTCTTGTGAGGCCAAACACACCCCGCCCCGGTGTTCGTGTGGTTTTTATTTGGGTGAAATTGTGAACGACAGTCATATAAGTCATTACTTCGTCTCATGAGCACAGTCATTGGGTTCACTGCAGCTTAAAGACTCAGTAGTCATACAAGGCGTGTGGTGGAGTCAGGAGATGTCCCGTGCCCGTGAGCTCGCCATTTGAAGGCCTGGAGGCCGCAACCGGTGACTTTGCCGACAATGTGTTGGGGGGGGGGGGCGGCCCCGTATCCGCACGGCAGAGTGAAGCAGGAGAGGGATGGAGCTTCTGTCCAGGGAGCAATGTTCTGGAGACAGGACCAACGCGTCCCGCTGTTCGAGTGACTCATCATCTTCATCATCGTCGTCGGCGATCACTCGAGGTCGAGTTTGATTGCCCTCCTGGTGGGTCCTGTTTGTGGGTCTTCAGATGTCTCAAGAGGCCGATTTGAGAGCCGCAGATTCTGCTGCAGTGTGGGCAAGGGCTACGTGGAGATGGTGGTTGGGGCCTTCTTGGTGGTGAGCGTCTCCTTGCGTTGTTGCCGCGTGGCGAAGAGTGCGACCCCCCGTGGTCGATCTTCCCCCACGTGGTTCTGCCCCGTCCTCGTGACGACACCACGGGGAAGCCCCTCTACGGGGGGGGGGGGGGTGCTACAATACGCCACGGCGGCCACGACCACTAAAGCGAATCGTCGGAGTTCGGAGTTGACGGCCTTCCTCACAGGCGCTGCTCGCTGTCCACAGCAGTTGCCCCAACAGCGCGTTGACCGCTACCTGCGGGGACCTTTGTCTGTCCCTGTGTAGACGGCTTCTATGGCAGCTGCCAGCAGAGGGCGGGCGGCGCGGCGATGAGACCCTCCAAACGGGAGCTCCCCGCCCTGCACGGTAAGCGTCATTCACGCCGCACACGTGCACAGGCTGCGGAGAGACACATAGAGACACGTAGAGACCCATAGAGATACGTAGAGTCCCATAGAGATACATCGAGACCCATAGAGATACATAGAGATACATAAAGACCCAAAGAGACCCATAGAGATACATAGAGACCCGTAGAGACCCATAGAGATACGTAGAGACCCATAGAGACCCATAGAGACCCACAGAGATACATAGATACCCATATGTATTTACATAGAAACACATAGAGACTCACAGAAATACATAGAAACACACACGTAGAGATACTTGAAAGGAAAGCCACAGTAGTGTGATTGTGGTCACACAACCCAAACTATGGACCATTTAGTAAACCCATAGAGACTCGCAGGGACACATCGAGACCCAGATAGACACATAGAGACAGATATAGAGACACAGAGACACATAGAGACCCATAGAGACACATAGAGACCCACAGAGACAGATATAGATACACAGGGACACATAGAGACACAGAGACACATAGAGATACATAGAGACCCCTGGAGACTCATAGAGACCCAGAGAGACATATTCAAGGCAAGCCACAGCAGTGCGACTGTGACTACGGACCGCACAGTGAACCCACCATGATATGCGCTCATTCAACAGAGGAACAGCGACATGACGCGAACTCCCTCTACTGAAGCCCTCTTGCCGTGGGGAGTAGAATCACCAGCGCCATCATCACGCAAAGTGTCCGTGTGGTCGTGTGTGCATGACGTACCCATGTGTGCGTGCCCCCCCCCCCGCTCCCCTAATCCGTAGGAATAACTCGGACGCTGTCGCCCCCCCCGGCGTCCCCCGTGGGGGGCGCTCCGCCCCCCGCCACCCCCGCCGTGCGCTTCTGGCCACCCCCATGGGCTCTCAGGTCAGAGGTCACCCCCGTCGTCACCCCGGCAACGCGTGGTCCCCGCGGGTTGGTTGCCACGGAAACGCTCGCGTGACTGGACGCTCGGATTCATGGTTGTGTCGTAAGGACCCTGCACCACCTGACGCAGCCAAAGACGTTGAATAACCACGCGGGTGTACGGGCGTGCAGCGACACTGCGATCGCTACTGCTTCACCTTCATCGCTCACTCACCCGCTCACTCACTCACCCACTCACTCACCCACTCGCTCACTCACTCACCCACTCGTTCACTCTACTCGCTCACCCACCCACCCGCTCACTCACTCATTCTCTCACTCACCCACTCACCCGCTCACTCACTCACCCACTCACCCGCTCACTCACTCACCCACTCGCTCGCTCACTCACCCGCTCACTCACTCATTCGCTCACTCACCCACTCGCTCACCCACTCAACCACTCACTGAACCGCTCGCTCACTCACCCGCTCACTCACTCACTCGGTCACTTACTCAACCACTCACTCGCCCACTCACCCGCTCACTCGCTCACCCACTCATTCGCTCACTTACCTGCTCACTCACTCACTCGGTCACTTACTCAACCACTCACTCGCTGACTTACTCAGCAACTCACCCACTTACTCGCTCACTTACCCACTCACTCACTCGCTCACTCAACCACTCACCCACTCACTCAACCGCTCATTCACCCACTCACCCGCTCACTCTCTCACCCACTCGCTCACCCACTCACCCACTCACTCGCTGACTTATTCAGCAACTCACCCATTTACTCGCTCACTTACCCACTCACCCACTCACTCACTCGCTCACCCAACCACTCACTCAACCGCTCACTCACCCACCCACTCACTAACCTACCGACTCACTCACCCACTCACTTACCCGCTTAATCGTTCGCTAACCAAGTGAGCGCCACGTAGCGCGTTTGCCGCTTGTTGCAGAGGTCTGCGGTTCGGATCCGGCAGGCCGTCCTGGTTAACACTGCGGCCGTGCGTACTGACAGTGGACGTTAATATTTTCGGGAGTCGGGCAGCGTGTCCCGTCGTCACGGGACAAATTCGCTAAGTTAAAAATGTGCTGTCCACCGCGAATCGCTCAATTGGGGTTGCGCACTCGGCAGCAATCGTCGCCCCCTACTAGCAGAAGACTGATGCCGCTTGCAGGCCAGGTGCTGACTCCGATATAGCGCCACACAGAGACAGCTGACACTGAGGATGCCCAGTAGGTCACTGATGAATGTTGAAGTTAAAACACCGCATCACCACCCCAACCAGGGAGTGGGTGGGTGACTTGGGGAGAGGGTGAGTGACTTAGGGAGTGGGTGAGTGACTCAGGGAGTGACTCAGGGAGTGGGTGAGTGACTTGGGGAGTGGTTGAGTGAGTCAGTGAGGAACTCAGGCAGTGGGTGAGTGACTCGCGGAGTGGGTGGCTCAGAGTGGAGGAGCAAGGGGGTTGGGGTGTGAGGGAGCTGAGGGGGCCCCGTGTGGTCGCAGGCCGCTGGTGGGGGAGCAGGGGGGAGGGGCCCCAGCAGCCCCTGCTGCCGAGGGGCCTCCGGGCCGCGCGGGGGCCCTGCGCCGGGCCCTGTGGCTGCTGGAGACGCTGGCGCTGGGGGACAGGGACGCGGCGGCCACCCGCCTGGGCCACGGCCTCGGCACCCGCGAGGTGAGGTTCACGCTCACTCAAGACAAAGATCTCCCGTGTAGCCTTAGCAGACTGTTGGGGCAAGTGCTGTTTGTGAGTAGCGCCACGGCACACGAGGGGGTGAGTGGCCAGCACCACGTCCGGCCGCCTTTGTCTCCCGAGTGGCGATGTTTACGCACCGCACCGGGTACTAATTTGAGGCTGAGTCGACCTAGGGTAGGCCCAGGACCGGTGCATGTAATCGTCACCGGTATTGTCCATGAGCGGGAATCGAAGTTGGGTCGAACCGCCCTCACTCACACTCACACAGCAAAGCCCAGATCATCCGTGTATGTGACCAATAGGGAGCCATTCCTCGACCTCACCCGGGCATCGATCAGCCAGCCCCCAATTGTATTTGTACCAGAAGTCCACCGCTACAGCCGTGGAAAGCTTCTCGAACTGCGTGGTCATTGAAGACGTTGAACAGTGTAGGGGTCAGAGCAGTGGCGGCTCCTGCAAAATCTCTCAGGGGGGGCAAATGTCTGGATGATTGATAAGGATAAGGTCCACCCATGCAATGGATACATTAACAGCTTAAGCATGTAAAGGCAACTTCACTTCTTTAATATTAATGAAAAATAAAGTGACTCTTACAATACATCTCCTTGTTTGTTTCTATACTCACTATTAATAGAATCCACTCAAGTTTTTTTTACTAAAGATTCCACTCGGTGGCGACAAATTATATTGTTGGATGAAACGTGCTTACGTATGATGACGTAAGCACGTTAGGGCGAGCCCTCCCGGAAGTCATAGAGAATGCATTGGAGCGCCCGCCGTTCGAAAAAAAACATCTTTGAATGTAAGTCTATGGGGCCACTCGGGGCGATTCTCAGCCGGAGTGAAATCGCCCAAAAAGAGGCGGTACTCCACAGAACGTGACATGACGCTGATTGGACTATATCCAGAGGCACAGTGACGGCTAGCGTGACTCTGTGGTTGAATGACATTGGTGGTGCGTCGCCCAATCGCCCTAATGAAGAAACCGCCCCTGGGTCAGAGGTCATCCCTGTCGCAGGAAATGGCTCTGACTCTCGGCCACGCAGCTAGGGGGCTGCCCACCATCGCCAGGGTGGGCACAGAGTCGGGGCCCCCAGAAAGTAGGAAGAGCAACCCCGAGCCCCGGCCCGTCGATGCCTCCGTAGGCCTTGAGCAGGCCAGTTACACAGCGTAGATGTCGGGCCCTGACCCCAGCCCTCACACCCTCCCCCACTGCTCCCCCTCTCCCCCACTGCCCCCCCGCCCCCCTCCCCCACTGCCCCCCTCCCCCACTTCCCCCCCCCGTCCCCCTCCCCCACTGCCCCCCGCCCCCTCCCCCACTGCCCCCCCCGCCCCCTCCCCCAGGCCCCCCCCCGCCCCCTCCCCCAGACCCCCGTGCGGTCGGAGGTGCCGGGCCCGGAGCGGCGCGGAGTGGGGGATGGCCCCCCCCCGAGGAGCCGGGCGGAGTCGCGGGCGCTGGGCCGCCTCCTCTCCGCCTACCTGAGCCCCCGGCGACACCGCCACGTGCCCCCCGTGGACGGGGGCTGGGGGGCCGCCGTGGGGGGCGCCCTGGGGGGCGCCGTGGGGGGCGCCGTGGGGGGGCCCGACCCCTACCCCCCCCGCCGTGTTTGGGGGGAGGGCGGCGCGGGGGGGCGCTACCCCAGCAGCCCCGGCGTGTGGGGGGGGCGTACTGACACCAGGGTGGAGATGGGTAGGCGGTGTGTGTGTGTGTCACTGTGTGTGTGTCACTGTGTGTGTGTGTCAAAACAACCTCCTACCTCCTCGCGGTGCCGGACGGGCAACACTGTCGTGAGCAGTGGTGTGGGGGGAGGGCCAATGCCCATTGGCCTCTCCCCTCATGGCGTCTGTGACCACCACAGTGGCTAAACGGGGGCTCTGGACGGGTGCGAGGGGCTGGTAACCCCTAATAAGCTTGTGCCGGAGGCCCCGGTGGGTCAGGCTTTCATGACGTCTCCTGGCCAAACCCCATTTGGCGGAGCCAGGAGATTGAATCTTCACCCTCGGGGCTCCTCCAGAAACAACGAAAAACCATTGCGGATGGCCACGTGGAATGTTCGAACGCTCACTGCGGAGGAGAGGCTGCCACTCCTTTGTCGGGAGCTGGACCGGTACCGCCTGGATCTCTGTGGCATTCAGGAGGTCCGGTGGACCGGTTCTGGCTCCTGCCACTATGAGGGGTGGACAGTCCTCTACTCGGGGCAGGAGACTGCCAAACAACAGGGTGTGGCTCTTCTTCTGAACAAAAGAATGAAGGGAGCATGGGAACGTGGCGGTGAGGTGTGGGAAGCTGTAAGCCCCAGGATACTTTGGGCTCGCCTTCCCATCAACCGGAGGCGAGGAGTGGTGGTCGTGGTTACTTATGCCCCCACCGAAGACGAACATCCGTGGAGGGATGCAGGCAAAGCCGATGAGTCAGACGCTTTCTATGACCTCCTGTCACAGGTGCTGGCTAAAGTGGCCACTCGGGACAGAGTCATCTTGTTGGGTGACTTCAATGCCCGAGTTGGTCATGATGCTGGCACCTGGTCTGGAGTGATTGGAAGGCATGGGCCAGATCAGCTCAATAACAACTGTAGGAGGCTGCTAGATTTTTCTGCAGCCCATGGGCTTGTAATTACCAACACGCTCTTCCGGCATCGGCGCATCCACACAACATCATGGATGCATGCCGGGTCCAAGCAAGAACATCTGCTGGACTACATAGTGACGGACCAGCGGATGCGAGCCCATGTCCTTGACACCAGGACCTACCGTGGAGCTGATCTGCCCTCTGACCATCGACTAGTCATCTGCAAGATGAGTGGGTGTATCCCACCAACCAAAAGTGGCCTGGTCTCAGTTAGCTGATGAAAGTTGCAAGCGAGAATTTCATCATCGCTTGCAGCTGGGGTTGGCATCGTCCCCCACTCCACCTGATGTCGAGGGTAAATGGGCGAGGTTTAAGACTGTGACTCATGCAGCTGCAATGGCTGCTTTGGGTACGCGGTCCAGACCTCCCCAGAAACCCTGGCTGACAGAGGAGGTGTTCAGATTAATTGAGAAAAAGCGACAGACCCACTCTCATCGGCTACAGCATCCCACGTCAGAGAATGAGGAGGTTTACCGCAGCGTTCGCTCGGAAGTTCGGAGAGCCGTAAGGCGCTGCAAGGATGGGTGGTGGTCGCGGGTTGCTGAGGAGATGGAATCTGCCTCAGTAGCCCGCGATCACAAATCACTATTTAACTCTATCAAAAAAGTAACCTGCAGCGCCACACCTATTACCATCATTAGAGGAAAAAACGGTGATCCAATCTCCGACCCCCAGGAACAGGTTTGCAGATTTGCTGAGCATTTCTGTGAGGTCCTGGGGGAGGGAAATTCTCTCAGCCAGGAAAACATCATGGCACAAAGTGGTGATAACCCTGCTGAGGCTGCGGTGCCTCAAATATTGGAAGAGGTCACCCCCTGTGAGTGGCTGGCTGAGGTGCCAGCTGTTGAGGAAGTACTGAGGGCGATCCGGAGTCTGAGACCAGGGAAGGCACCGGCCAGAGATGATCTCCCAAGCGAAATGCTGAGGGAGGGTGGCGTTTGTGCACAGACTGCCCTATATGACATCATAACAACAGTCTGGACCACTGGACGGGTTCCGCAGGACTGGAAGGATGCCCTGGTGGTCCCCCTCTTTAAGAAGGGGGACCGCACAGACTGTAACAACTACAGGGGCATCTCACTCCTCAGTGTACCGGGAAAGGTCCTGGCAAGGATTATTCAACATCGCCTTGCTAGGCACGCTGAGGAGAGGCTTGCGGAGCCCCAATGCGGTTTCAGGAAAGGGCGGTCCTGCACAGATGCCATATTTTCTGTCCGTCTGCTACAGCAGAGATGTAGGGAATTCCAACAAGACCTACATCTCTGCTTTATTGACCTGGTCAAGGCCTATGATACCATCAGTAGGCCTGGGCTCTGGGTTGTTCTTCGTGCTTTCGGAGTCCCTGACCCTCTGCTCACGATCATTAAGGACCTTCATGATGGTGAGCGGGCCCGGGTAAAACTACGTGGCCGGGAGTCGGAGCCTTTCCCTGTACACTTGGGGTGCGACAGGGATGTCCTCTGGCTCCCACATTATTTAACATCTATTTCGACTACGTAGTTCGTGAAGCCTTCAATAGCTGTACCGGGGGAATTTCCATTTGGTACAGATATAATGGGAGGCTGATCGACGCCCGGGTGCGATCAAGGGATGGCTCCCTAGTGGTCAACCATGTTATGTATGCCGATGATTTGGTAATAGCTGCTCATTCAGAAGAGGAGTTGGAGACGCTGCTGCTGAGACTGGAGCGTGCCACTAAGAGGTGGGGCCTTACCATCAGCCCCACCAAAACTAAGCACCTGCCTGGGTATTTTGTACCATCGGACACTCCACCCCCACAACTCCCAATTGGTGATGGGGCAGTTGTGGAGAGAGTGGAGAGTTTCCCATACCTGGGCAGTGTGCTTATGACCGGCTCCAGTTTATCAGCAGAGGTCTCACTCCGAATCAGTCGAGCGGCAATATCTTTTCATCGGTTGCGTAACGCTGTGTGGAAGCTACCTGGTCTGTCGCTCCGCACGAAGCTTCAGGTCTTCTCGGCCACGGTCATTCCCTCCCTTCTCTACGCTTGCGAAACGTGGACCCCCCTAGTGGAGCATCTTCGCTGGTTGGAAACATTTAGGCTGGCCTGCTTACGATCCATCCTGGGTTTAACCAGGCTGGATTGTGTGAGGAGCTCACAAGTCCTTGAAAGATCTGCGCAAAGTCCCATCAGTGAGCTCCTCCGGCAGGCAAGGCTGCGTTGGCTGGGTCATGTAGCCCGCATGCCCAGCCACCGCATGCCTAAACAGCTTTTGTTCGGCCGGATCGAGGGGGCTAAACGGGCGCGGCACTTGCTGGAGAAGAGATGGAGTGATGTGGTACAGGAGGACGTGGAGCTGAGTGGACTTGCCGATGACTGGTACCAGCGGTGTCAAGATCGGCCTCAGTGGAGGAGGCTCGTGAAGGACGCTACTGGGCAGTTGGAGGCAGTCGCCCTCCAACAACAACGGAGGGCGGAGGAGCGACGCTCACAACAACGAGCGGAGCGCCGGGTGGCTAAAGCACAGAAAGTTGGTACAGTAGGGGGCACAGATGGTGCATCAGCCAGTCATTTCGGTCATCTCGGTCAGTCGACCCGTGGCACCTGCTGGGTCTGCCCCGTGACCTCCTGCCAGCGGGCGTTCGACACTTCACGTGGCCTCAAGGTGCACTTGGCCTGGCACAAGCATCGTGGTGACGTCACCGCCACTTAGTGGCGAATGGCGGTTGTTGTTGTTGTGTCACTGTGTGTCACTGTGTGTGTGTGTGTCACTGTGTGTGTCACTGTGTGTGTGTGTCACTGTGTGTGTGTGTTACTGTGTGTGTGTCACTGTGTGTGTGTCACTGTGTGTGTCACTGTGTGTGTGTGTCACTGTGTGTGTGTCACTGTGTGTCACTGTGTGTGTGTGTGTCACTGTGTGTGTAACTGTGTCAGTGTGTGTGTGTGTCACTGTGTGTCACTGTGTGTGTGTGTCACTGTGTGTGTGCGTGTCACAGACCCCGTGCGGGCCGCCCTGGAGGCGGAGCTCTCCTTCTACGGCCTCAGCCTCTCCGACCTCTCCCCGGCCCAGGTCGCCACCCTGGTCGCCGTGGTAACGGACGGGCAGGGGGGCCGCCCGGGCCCCCCGGTCGCCGTGGAGACGGGGGGAGGGCGGCAGGGCCCCCCGCCGGGCCCGAACGGCGGGGGGGTGGAGCGCGGGAGAGCGAGGGGGGGGCCCTGGGAGCTCGAGAGACTCCTCGGGGGGGGGCCGCACGGCTACGAGGAGGAGGAGGAGGAGCTGGAGGAGGAGGAGGAGGGCCCCGAGGGGGGGCCGCCCCCGCTCGGCCGCCCCCTCGCGTCACGTGACCCCGCCGGAGCATCGCCATTGGCCATCGTGCCGACCCCCGCCGGCCTCCCGGGGGGGGGGGTGCCCGGCGGGGGCGGCCCCACGGAGGGGGGGGGCGCCACCAGTCTGGAGTACGGATACGTGGTCGCCGACCACGAGTGAGTGCCCCCCCCCCCCACTGCCCCCCACTGCCCCCCCCCCCTCCCCACTGCCCCCCGCACCGCACGGCCCCCCCCCTCCACTGCCCTCCGCACCGCACGGCCACAGACGCAACCGCCGACGATGATCCCCGGTGAGGGCGAGACCGGAGCTCGCGCGTGTGGGGGAGCGGGGCCGTGCAGGGGGGAGACAAAGGCGGCCGGGACGGGTGCCGTCTCCACCTGCCCCCTGCTCGGTGTTCTAGACCGGCCTCTGTGGGCGGAGGAGGCTGGACGGTACTGGGCAGTGCCAGTCTAGGTGCACGGTGGGGATTTGGAGGCAGCCGCCCTCCAAGGACAGCGGAGCGCCGTGGGGAGCTTCCGTCAGTCAGTCGGTCGGTCAGTCAGTCAGCCAGTCAGTCAGTCAGTCGGCCCGTGGCACCTGCTGGGTCTGTCCCGGGACCTCCTGCCGGCGAGCTCTCGGCACCTCGCGGGGCCCTTCAGGTGCACCTAGCCTGGCACGAGCGTCGTGGTGACGTCGCTGCCACTTGGCGCTGGTTGTTGTTGTTGTTGTGTCCACGTGTGTCTGCGCGTCTGTTGCGCGTGGGATGCGGCGGTGCAGCGGTCCGCGAGTTTGATTCCCGCTCACGGCCAACATCAGTGACGATTATCTGAACTGGTCCTGAGCCTCCCCTAGGTCGACCCAGCCTCAAATGAGTACCTGGTGCGGGGAGACAAAGACGGCCGGTCGTGGTTCTGGCCACCCACCCCCTCGTGTGCCGTGCCGGCCTTAATGGGAGCTACACGTGAACGGCACTTGCCCCAACAGTCTGTTCAGGCTATCTGGGGGATCTTTGTCTGTGTGTGTGAGCAGCCCTCTGAGTGTGCGGGATGGGCTGCTGCTCATGGAGGCGCTGTCCCACAACCTGGGCATTTCTCTCACCTCCTTCACAGACGTCAAGTGAGATCACAGGCTGACTCACATGTAGACTCACACTCACACTGACTCACACGTAGACTCACACTCACACTGAGACTCACACTGACTCACACGTAGACTCACACACTGACTCACACTGACTCACACTGACTCACACACTGACTCACACTGACTCACACGTAGACTCACACTGACTCACGTAGACTCACGTAGACTCACGTAGACTCACACTGACTCACACTGACTCACACGTAGACTCACACGTAGACTCACACGTAGACTCACACAGAGACTCACACGTAGACTCACACTGACTCACACTGACTCACACGTAGACTCACACGTAGACTCACACGTAGACTCACACAGAGACTCACACAGAGACTCACGTAGACTCACACTGGCACCAGACTTACCATGTTATTATGTGTTCTTCGTGTCCCTGTCTCCCCTGGATCCATGTTCCCATGTCCTCATATCCCTGTGTCCCCGTGTCTCTATGTCCCCGTGTCTCCGTGTCCCCGTGTCCCCGTGTCTCCGTGTCCCCGTGTCCCCGTGTCCCCGTGTCCCCGTGACTCCGTGTCCCCGTGTCCCCGTGTCCCCGTGTCTCCGTGTCCCCGTGTCTCCGAGTCTCCGTGTCCCTGTGTCTCCGTGTCCCCGTGTCTCCGTGTCCCCGTTTCTCCATGTCCCCGTGTCCCCGTGTCTCCGAGTCTCCGTGTCCCCATGTCTCCGTGTCCCCGTGTCCCCGTGTCTCCGTGTCCCCGTGTCTCTGTGTCCCCGTTTCTCCGTGTCCCCGTGTCTCCGTGTCTCCGTGTCCCCGTGTCCCCGTGTCCCGTGTCTCCGTGTCCCCGTGTCCCCGTGTCTCCGTGTCTCCGTGTCCCCGTGTCCCCGTGTCTCCGTGTCCCCGTGTCCCCGTGTCTCCGTGTCCCCGTGTCTCCGTGTCTTCATGCAGCGTGATCGGCCCGGCGCTCGCCTTCCAGATCGGACAGAACGAGCAGAACTTGTCGGTGTCCAGCATCGCCGAGGCCGCAGGCACGAGCAGCACCCCTCTCCCAGACACAGGCGCAGACGCCACTTACAAGTGTTTACCTCGTGTGTGTGTGCGTGTGTCTGTGTCACAGTGTGTGTGTGTCTGTGTCACAGTGTGTGTGTCACAGTGTGTGTGTGTGTGTCACAGTGTGTGTGTGTCTCCCAGACACAGACCCAGACGCCACTTACAAGTGTTTACCTCGTGTGTGTGCGTGTGTGTGTGTCACAGTGTGTGTGCGTGCGTGCGTGTCACAGTGTGTGTGTGTGTCTGTGTGTGTGTCTGTGTGTGTGTGTGTGTCTGTGTCACAGTGTGTGTGTGTGGGGAGCGGAAGTGTAGCGGTTAGCGCGCTGCGCTATGAACCTGGCGACCCGGGTTCGATTCCCGCTCACGGCTAACACCAGTGACGATTATCTAAACCGGTCCTGGGCCTCCCCTAGGTCGACTCAGCCTTAAATGAGTACCTGGTGTGGTGTGTAAACATCGCCACTGGGGAAACAAAGGCGGTCGGGCGTGGTGCTGGCCACCCACCCCCTCGTTCGTGTACCGTTCCGGCCTTCATACTTGCTCGCTAACAGCACTTGCCCCTACAGTCTGTTAAGGCTATACGGGGGATCTTTGTGTGTGTCACAGTGTGTCTGTGTGTGTGTCACAGTGTGTGTGTCTCCCAGACACAGGCCCAGACGCCACTTACAAGTGTTTACCTCGTGTGTGTGTCTGTCTGTGTCTGTGTGTGTGTCACAGTGTGTCTGTGTGTGTGTGTGTCTCACAGTGTGTGTGTCTCCCAGACACAGGCCCAGACGCCACTTACAAGTGTTGACCTCGTGTGTCACAGTGTGTGCGTGTCTGTGTCACAGTGTGTGTGTGTGTCTCCCAGACACAGACCCAGACGCCACTTACAAGTATTTACCTCACGTGTGTGCGTGTGTCTGTGTCACAGTGTGTGTGTGCGTGTGTTTGTGTCTGTGTGTGTGTGTGTCACAGTGTGCATCTCCCAGACACAGACCCAGACGCCACTTACAAGTGTTTACCTCGTGTGTATGTGTCTGTGTCACAGTGTGTGTGTGTGCCACAGTGTGTGTGCGTGTCTGTGTCACAGTGTGTGTGTGTGCGTGTGTGGGGCCTTACCATCAGCCCCACCAAAACTAAGCACCTGCCTGGGTATTTTGTACCATCGGACACTCCACCCCCACAACTCCCAATTGGTGATGGGGCAGTTGTGGAGAGAGTGGAGAGTTTCCCATACCTGGGCAGTGTGCTTATGACCGGCTCCAGTTTATCAGCAGAGGTCTCACTCCGAATCAGTCGAGCGGCAATATCTTTTCATCGGTTGCGTAACGCTGTGTGGAAGCTACCTGGTCTGTCGCTCCGCACGAAGCTTCAGGTCTTCTCGGCCACGGTCATTCCCTCCCTTCTCTACGCTTGCGAAACGTGGACCCCCCTAGTGGAGCATCTTCGCCGGTTGGAAACATTTAGGCTGGCCTGCCTACGATCCATCCTGGGTTTAACCAGGCTGGATTGTGTGAGGAGCTCACAAGTCCTTGAAAGATCTGGGCAAAGTCCCATCAGTGAGCTCCTCCGGCAGGCAAGGCTGCGTTGGCTGGGTCATGTAGCCCGCATGCCCAGCCACCGCATGCCTAAACAGCTTTTGTTCGGCCGGATCGAGGGGGCTAAACGGGCGCAGCACGGGCTAGAGAAGAGATGGAGTGATGTGGTACAGGAGGACGTGGAGCTGAGTGGACTTGCCGATGACTGGTACCAGCGGTGTCAAGATCGGCCTCAGTGGAGGAGGCTCGTGAAGGACGCTACTGGGCAGTTGGAGGCAGTCGCCCTCCAACAATAACGGAGGGCGGAGGAGCGACGCTCACAACAACGAGCGGAGCGCCGGGTGGCTAAAGCACAGCAAGTCGGTACAGTAGGGGGCACAGGTGGTGCATCAGCCAGTCATCTCGGTCATCTCGGTCAATCGACCCGTGGCACCTGGGTCTGCCCCGTGACCTCCTGCCAGCGAGCGTTCGACACTTCACGTGGCCTCAAGGTGCACATGGCCTGGCACAAGCGTCGTGGTGACGTCACCGCCACTTAGTGGTGAATGGCGGTTGTTGTTGTTGTTGTCTGTGTATGTGTGTGTGTGTCTGTGGATGTGTGTGTATCTGTGTGTGTGTGTCACAGTGTATGTGTGTTTCACAGTGTGTGTCACAGTGTGTCTGTGTGTCACAGTGTGTGTGTGTCACAGTGTGTATGTGTCACAGTGTGTGTGTGTGTGTCACAGTGTGTGTGTGTGTCACAGTGTGTCACAATGTGTGTGTGTCACAGTGTGTGTGTGTGTCACAGTGTGTGTGTGTGTCACTGTGTGCGTGTGTCTATGGCAAAAACAACCCCCTACCTCCTCGCGGTGCCGGACGGGCAACACTGTCATAGACATTGCTATGGGGGGAGGGCCAATGCCCATTGGCCCTCTCCCCTCATGGCGTCTGTGACCACCACAGTGGCTAAACGGGGGCTCTGGAAGGGTGCGAGCGGCTAGTAACCCCTCCACCTTCAATTAATTACCACGAGACTACGATATAAACATAAAAATGTAACAAATAAGCTTGTGCCGGAGGCCCCGGGGGGACAGGCTTCTATGACGTCTACTGGCCAAACCCCAATTGGCGGAGCCAGGAAATTGAATCTTCACCCTCGGGGCTCCTCCAGAAACAACATAAAACCACTACGGATGGCCACGTGGAATGTTCGAACGCTCACTGCGGAGGAGAGGCTGCCACTCCTTTGTCGGGAGCTGGACCGGTACCGCCTGGATCTCTGTGGCATTCAGGAGTTCCGGTGGACCGGTTCTGGCTCCTGCCACCATGAGGTGTGGACAGTCCTCCACTCGGGGCAGGAGACTGCCAAACAACAGGGTGTGGCTCTTCTTCTGAACAAAAGAATGAAGGGGGCGTCGGTACGTGGCGGTGAGGTGTGGGAAGCTGTAAGCCCCAGAATACTTTGGGCTCGCCTTCCCATCAACCGGAGGCGAGGAGTGGTGGTCGTGGTTACTTATGCCCCCACCGAAGACGAACATCCGAGGAGGGATGCAGGCAAAGCTGATGAGTCAGATGCCATCTATGACCTCCTGTCACAGGTGCTGGCTAAAGTGGCCACTCGGGACAGAGTCATCTTGTTTGGTGACTTCACTGCCCGAGTTGGTCATGAATCTGGCACCTGGTCTGGAGTGATTGGAAGGCATAGGCCAGATCAGCTCAATAACAACGGTAGGAGGCTGCTAGATTTTTCTGCAGCCCATGGGCTTGTAATTACCAACACGCTCTTCCGGCATCGGCGCATCCACACAACATCATGGATGCATGCCGGGTCCAAGCAAGAACATCTGCTGGACTACATAGTGACGGACCAGCGGATGCGAGCCCATGTCCTTGACACCAGGACCTACCGTGGAGCTGATCTGCCCTCTGACCATCGACTAGTCATCTGTAAGATGCGCCTGCCATTCTTCCACCACTCCGGTGGTGGGTGTACACCCAGGACCCCATTCAAACCAAAAGTGGCCTGGTCTCAGTTAGCTGATGAAACTTGCAAGTGACAATTTCATCATCGCTTGCAGCTGGGGTTGGCATCGTCCCCCACTCCTCCTGATGTCGAGGGAAAATGGGCGAAGTTTAGGACTGTGACTCATGCAGCTGCAATGGCTGCTTTGGGTATGCGGTCCAGACCTCCCCAGAAAACCTGGCTGACAGAGGAGCTGTTCAGGTTAGTGGAGAAAAAGCGACAGGCCCACTCTCATCGGCTACAGCATCCCACGTCAGAGAATGAGGAGGTTTGCCGCAGACTTCGCTCGGAGGTTATGAGAGCCGTAAGGCTCTGCAAGGATGGGTGGTGGTCGCGGGTTGCTGAGGAGATGGAGTCTGCTCCATCAAAAAGTAACCTGCAGCGCCACACCTATTACCATCATTAGGGGAAAAAACGGTGATCCAATCTCTGACCCCCAGGAACAGGTTTGCAGATTTGCTGAGCATTTCTGTGAAGTCCTGGGGGAGGGGAAATCCCTCAGCCAGGAAAACATGGCACAAAGTGTGGATAACCCTGCTGAGGCTGCGGTGCCTCAAATATTGGAAGAGGTCACCCCCTGTGAGTGGCTGGCTGAGGTGCCATCTGTTGAGGAAGTACTGAAGGCGATCCGGAGTCTGAGACCAGGAAAGGCACCGGGCAGAGATGATCTCCCAAGCGAAATGCTGAGGGAGGGTGGCGTTTGTGCACAGACTGCCCTATATGACATCATAACAACAGTCTGGACCACTGGACGGGTTCCGCAGGATTGGAAGGATGCCCTTGTGGTCCGCCTTTTTAAGAAGGGAGACCGCACAGACTGTAACAACTACAGGGGCATCTCACTCCTCAGTGTGCCGGGAAAGGTCCTGGCAAGGATTATTCAACATCGCCTTGCTAGGCACGCTGAGGAGGGGCTTGCGGAGCCCCAATGTGGTTTCAGGAAAGGGCGGTCCTGCACAGATGCCATATTTTCTGTCCGTCTGCTACAGCAGAGTTGTAGGGAATTCCAACAAGACCTACATCTCTGCTTTATTGACCTGGTCAAGGCCTATGATACCATCAGTAGGCCTGGGCTCTGGGTTGTTCTTCGTGCTTTCGGAGTCCCTGACCCTCTGCTCACGATCATTAAGGACCTTCATGATGGTGAGCGGGCCCGGGTAAAACTACGTGGCCGGGAGTCAGAGTCTTTCCCTGTACACCTTGGGGTGCGACAGGGATGTCCTCTGGCTCCCACATTATTTATTTTGACCGCGTAGTTCGTGAAGCCTTCATTAGCTGTACCAGGGGGAATTCCCATTTGGTACAGATATAATGGGGGGCTGATCGACGCCCGGGTGCGATCAAGGGATGGCTCCCTATTGGTCAACCACGTTATGTATGCCGATTATTTGGTAATAGCTGCTCATTCAGAAGAGGAGTTGGAGACGCTGCTGCTGAGACTGGAGCGTGCCTCTAAGAGGTGGGGCCTTACCATCAGCCCCACCAAAACTAAGCACCTGCCTGGATATTTTGTACCATCGGACACTCTACCCCCACAACTTCCAATCGGTGATGGGGCAGTAGTGGAGAGAGTGGAGAGTTTCCCATACCTGGGCAGTGTGCTTATGACCGGCTCCAGTTTAACAGCAGAGGTCTCACTCCGAATCAGTCGAGCGGCAATATCTTTTCATCGATTGTGTAACGCTGTGTGGAAGCTACCTGGTCTGTCGCTCCGCACGAAGCTTCAGGTCTTCTCGGCCACAGTCATTCCCTCCCTTCTCTACGCTTGCGAAACGTGGACCCCCCTAATGGAGCATCTTCGCCGGTTGTAAACATTTAGGCTGGCCTGCCTACGATCCATCCTGGGTTTAACCAGGCTGGATTGTGTGAGGAGCTCACAAATCCTTGAAAGATCTGGGCAAAGTCCCATCGGTGAGCTCCTCCGGCAGGCAAGGCTGCGTTGGCTGGGTCATGTAGCCCGCATGCCCAGCCACCGCATGCCTAAACAGCTTTTGTTTGGCCGGATCGAGGGGGCTAAACGGGCGCGGCACGGGCTAGAGAAGAGATGGAGTGATGTGGTACAGGAGGACGTGGAGCTGAGTGGACTTGCCAATGACTGGTACCAGCGGTGTCAAGATCGGCCCCTGTGGAGGAGGCTCATGAAGGACGCTACTGGGCAGTTGGAGGCAGTCGCCCTCCAACAACAACGGAGGGCGGAGGAGCAACGCTCACAACAACGAGCGGAGCGCCGGGTGGCTAAAGCACAGCAAGTTGGCACAGTAGGGGGCACAGGTGGTGCATCAGCCAGTCATCTCGGTCATTCGACCCATGGCACCTGGGTCTGCCCCGTGACCTCCTGCCAGCAGGCGTTCGACACTTCATGTGGCCTCAAGGTGCACTTGGCCTGGCACAAGCGTCGTGGTGACGTCACCGCCACTTAGTGGCGAATGGCGGTTGTTGTTGTATGTGTGGGGAGCGGTAGTGTAGCGGTCAGCGCGCTGCGCTATGAACTCAGTAACCTGAGTTTGATTCCCGCTCACGGCCAACACCAGTGACGATTATTTGAACCAGTCTTGCGCCTCCGCTAAGTCGACTCAGCCTCAAATGCGTACCTGGTGCAGTGCGTAAACATCGCCACCGGGGAGACAAAGGCAGCCGCGTGTGGTGCTAGCCACCCACACCCTCTTGTGCTGTTCCATCCTTCATAGGTGCTACTCGCTAACAGCACTTGCCCCACACGTCTGTTCAGGCTATCACTTCACACAAAGCTCTGGGTCTATCGGCCACAGTCATGCCCTCAATTCTCCATGCTTGCGAAATGTGGACCCCTCTCATCGACTATGAGCACTAGTTAGAATCACTCATGCTGGCCTGCCGACAATCCATCCCGGATGTAACCAGGCTGCGTTGTGCAAGGAGCTAATCGCCACATGCACCACGACTTCCCACAATGACGTAAACCTCCCCTGCACATAAAGCGGTCCCCCTCCTCAACCTCCTTGCGTTACCCTCCCGAAGCCCTCACCTCTTCCCCGTCACCCATTCCCTTCCTCTCCCCTCCACTCAGTCCCATCCCTCCCCCACAGCCCCTTGCCGTGACCCCCACGCGCCCTCCGGCGCGATCGCTCCACTCCCCGGCCCTTGCACCGCCCCGGCCACCGCAACCATCGCACGTCTCCTCGAGCTGACGTACACGTGCCGGCTAAGCCAATCGCAGCTCGGCCTCGTTACCTGATTGGCCACCCCCCCCCAACGTGACGCGCCGTACCCCCCCTTGACCGCCTCGAGGTGCACCTAGTCTGGCACGCGCGCCGTGTCGGGCGAGCGCGGGGCGAGAGGTGTGACTTTTGTGTGTTTTCTGAATTTTGCAGTTCGGAAGAAAGCGCAGCTCGAGAAGGACAGCGGAGTGAGGATCATCCAGATGGGCGTGGGCGAGGTGAGGCACAGTGCCCCATCATCACCATCACCACCATCACCACCATCACCACTATCACCACCATCACCAACATCAACACCATCAACACCATCATCACGACCATCAACACCACCATCAACACCACCATCAATACCATCACCACCATCACCACCATCACCACCATCAACACCATCACCACCATCACCATCACCACTATCACCACCACCACCATCACCACCATCACCACCACCATCACCACCATCAACACCATCAACACTATCATCACGACCATCAACACCACCATCACCACCATCAACACCACCATCACCACCAACACCACCATCAACACCACCATCAACACCATCACCACCATCATCACCACCATCACCACCATCACCCACCATCAACACCATGAGCATCAACACCACCATCAACACCACCATCATGAGCACCACTATCACCACCGTCAACACCACCACCAACGCGGTGTGTCCATGAGTGTGTGAGTCTGTGTGAGTGTGTGAGTCTGTGTGAGTGTGCGTGAGTCTGTGTGAGTGCGTGAGTCTGTGTGAGTGCATGAGTCTGTGTGAGTGCGTGAGTCTGTGTGTGTGTGTGAATCTGTGTGAGAGCGTGAGTCTGTGTGAGTGCGTGTGTCTGTGTGTGTGTGAGTCTGTGTGTGAGTGCGTGAGTCTGTGTGAGTGCGTGAGTCTGTGTGTGTGTGAGTCTGTGTGTGAGTCTGTGTGTGTGCGTGAGTCTGTGTGTGTGCGTGAGTCTGTGTGAGTGTGTGAGCTCGGTGTGTGTGCGTGAGTCTGTATGTGTGTGAGTCTGTGTGTGTCGGGTGGACCAGTTTTGGCTCCTGCCACCATGAGGGGTGGACAGTCCTCTACTCGGGGCAGGAGACTGCCAAACAACAGGGTGTGGCTCTTCTTCTGAACAAAAGAATGAAGGGGGCGTGGGAACGTGGGAGTGAGGTGTGGGAAGCTGTAAGCCCCAGGATACTTTGGGCTCACCTTCCCATCAAACGGAGGTGAGCAGTGGTGGTCGTGGTTACTTATGCCCCCACCGAAGACGAACATCCATGGAGGGATGCAGGCAAAGCCAATGAGTCAGATGCCTTATATGATGTCCTGTCACAGGTGCTGGCTAAAGTGGCCACTCGGGACAGAGTCATCTTGTTGGGTGACTTCAATGCCCGAGTTGGTCATGATGCTGGCACCTGGTCTGGAGTGATTGGAAGGCATGGGCCAGATCAGCTCAATAACAACTGTAGGAGGCTGCTAGATTTTTGTGCAGCCCATAGGCTTGTTATTATCAACATGCTCTTCCGGCATTGGCGCGTCCACACAACATCATGGATGCATGTCGGGTCCAAGCAAGAACATTTGCTGGACTACATAGTGACGGACCAGCGGATGCGAGCCCATGTTCTTGACACCAGGACCTACCGTGGAGCTGATCTGCCCACTGACCATCGACTAGTCATCTGTAAGATGTGCCTGCCATTCTTCCACTCCGGTGGTGGGTGTACACCCAGGACCCCATTCCAACCTAAAGTGGCCTGGTCTCAGTTAGCTGATGAAAGTTGCAAGCGAGAATTTCATCATCGCTTGCAGCTGGGGTTGGCATTGTCTCCCACTCCTCCTGATGTCGAGGGTAAATGGGCGAGGTTTAGGACTGTGACTCATGCAGCTGCAATGGCTGCTTTGGGTACGCGGTCCAGACCTCCCCAGAAACCCTGGCTGACAGAGGAGGTGTTCAGGATAGTTGAGAAAAAGCGACAGGCCCACTCTCATCGGCTACAGCATCCCACGTCAGAGAATGAGGAGGCTTACCACAGCCTTCGCTCGGAGGTTCAGAGGGCCGTAAGGCGCTGCAAAGATGGGTGGTGGTCGCGGGTTGCTGAGGAGATGGAGTCTGCCTCAGTGGCCCGCGATCACAAATCACTATTTAACTCCATCAACAAAGTAACCTGCAGCGCCACACCTATTTCCATCATTAGGAGAAAAAACGGTGATCCAATCTCCGACCCCAAGGAACAGGTTTGCAGATTTGCTGAGCATTTTTGTGAGGTCCTGGGGGAGGGGAAATCCCTCAGCCAGGAAAACATCATGGCACAAAGTGGGGATAACCCTGCTGAGGCTGCGGTGCCTCAAATATTGGAAGAAGTCACCCCCTGTGAGTGGCTGGCTGAGGTGTCATCTATTGAGGAAGTACTGAAGGCGATCCGGAGTCTGAGACCAGGAAAGGCACCGGGCAGAGATGATCTCCCAAGCGAAATGCTGGGGGAGGGTGGCGTTTGTGCACAGACTGCCCTATATGACATCATAACAACAGTCTGGACCACTGGACGGGTTCCGCAGGATTGGAAGGATGCCCTGGTGGTCCCCCTCTTTAAGAAGGGGGACCGCACAGACTGTAATAACTACAGGGGCATCTCACTCCTCAGTGTGCCGGGAAAGATCCTGGCAAGGATTATTCAACATCGCCTTGCTAGGCACGCTGAGGAGAGGCTTGCGGAGCCCCAATGCGGTTTCAGGAAAGGGCGGTCCTGCAAGGATGCCATATTTTCTGTCCGTCTGCTACAGCAGAGATGTAGGGAATTCCAACAAGACCTACATCTCTGCTTTATTGACCTGGTCAAGGCCTATGATAGCATCAGTAGGCCTAGGCTCTGGGTTGTTCTTCGTGCTTTCGGAGTCCCTGACCCTCTGCTCATGATCATTAAGGACCTTCATGATGGTGAGCGGGCCCGGGTAAAACTAGGTGGCCGGGAGTCAGAGCCTTTTCCTGTACACCTTGGGGTGCGACAGGGATGTCCTCTGGCTCACGCATTATTTAACATCTATTTTGACCACGTAGTTCATGAAGCCTTCAATAGCTGTACCTGGGGAATTTCCATTTGGTACAGATATAATGGGAGACTGGTCGATGCCCGGGTGCGATCAAGAGATGGCTTCCTATTGGTCAACCGCGTTATGTATGCCGATGATTTGGTAATAGCTGCTCATTCAGAAGAGGAGTTGGAGACGATGCTACTGAGACCCCTAAGAGGTGGGGCCTTACCATCAGCCCCACCAAAACTAAGCACCTGCCTGGGTATTTTGTACCATCGGACACTCCACCTCCCACAACTCCCAATCGGTGATGGGGCAGTTGTGGAGAGAGTGGAGAGTTTCCCATACCTGGGCAGTGTGCTTATGACCGGCTCCAGTTTAACAGCAGAGGTCTCACTCCGAATCAGTCGAGCGGCAATATCTTTTCATCCGTTGCGTAACGCTGTGTGGAAGCTACCTGGTCTGTTGCTCCGCACGAAGCTTCAGGTCTTCTCGGCCACAGTCATTCCCTCCCTTCTCTACGCTTGTGAAACGTGGACCCCCCTAATGGAGCATCTTTGCCAGTTAGAAACATTTAGGCTGGCCTGCCTACGATCCATCCTGGGTTTAACCAGGCTGGATTGTGTCAGGAGCTCACAAATCCTTGAAAGATCTGGGCAAAGTCCCATCCATGAGCTCCTCCGGCAGGCAAGGCTGCGTTGGCTGGGTCATGTAGCCCGCATGCCCAGCCACCGCATGCCTAAACAGCTTTTGTTTGGCCGGATCGAAGGGGCTAAACGGGGGCGGGCTAGAGAAGAGATGGAGTGATGTGGTACAGGAGGACGTGGAGTTGAGTGGACTTGCCAATGACTGGTACCAGCGGTGTCAAGATCGGCCTCTGTGGAGTAGGCTCGTGAAGGACGCTACTGGGCAGTTGGAGGCAGTCGCCCTCCAACAACAACGGAGGGCGGAGGAGCAACGCTCACAACAACGAGCGGAGCGCCGGGTGGCTAAAGCACAGTAATTTGGCACAGTAGGGGGCACAGGTGGTGCATCAGCCAGTCGTCTCGGTCATCGCAGTCAGTCGACCCGTGGCACCTGGGTCTGCCCCGTGACCTCCTGCGAGCGGGCGTTCGACACTTCACGTGGCCTCAAGGTGCACTTGGCCTGGCACAAGCGTCGTGGTGACGTCACCGCCACTTAGTGGCGAATGGCGGTTGTTGTTGTTGTTGTGTGAGCTCGGTCTGAGGCCGAGCTCCCTGTAGAGCCGGGGCGCCACCGTGCGGCGTGTGGAGCGTGCAGTGTGCAGCGTGGGATGTGGAGCGTCACGTACTCCCTGGTGCCGCTCCCTTGCTTAACTTACGCTGCACATCTCTCCCCCCCCCCCCCCCCCCGTGTCGCTCTCCTCCCTCTTTTTTCTTTCTCTCCCTCTCTGCCCCCCCCCTCTTTCTCCTTCCTTTCTCCCCCACCCCTCTCATCCCCCCCATCTCTCTCCCCCCTCCCTGTCTCCCCCACCCGCTTCCCCACCCTCCACCCTCCTCTCTCTCCCCTCTACCCCCCCTCCACCCCCCCTCCATCCTCCCTCCCCCCCACCCTCTACCCCCCCCTCCACCCTCCTCCCCCCCCTCCACCCTCCCTCCACCCTCCCTCCCTCCACCCTCCCTCCCCCCCTTGCCCCCCCTCCACCCCCCCTCTACCCCCCCCCTCCACCCTCCCTCCGGGAGCAGCAGCGCTCTGGCCTGCAGGTGGTGCCGCGGCTGCGCCGTGGCGAGCAGCCCTCCTCCCGGCGCCTGCTGGCGCTCTCCGTGGTGCTGGCGTCGTGCGCCGGCGGCGTGCTGGCGGCGGGCGCCGTGCTCTACTGTCTGCGCAGGCGCCGCGGGGGGGACAAGGGGGGGGGCGCGGGGGGACACGCGGGTGGCACCGAGCCCAGCGCGGACTACCAGGTGAGCGGGCGGGTAAGTGGGCTGGTGAGGAGGTGGGTGAGCGGGCGGGTGAGTGGGTGGGTGAGTGGGTGAGCGGGCGGGTGAGTGGGTGGGTGGGTGAGTGGGTGGGTGAGCGGGCGGGTGAGCGGGCGGGTGGGCGAGTGGTTGGGCGAGCGGGCGAGCGTGTGGTTGAGTGGGTGGGTGAGTGGGTGGGTGGGCGAGTGGGCGAGCGTGTGCGCGCGTCCCTTCCTCAGGAGCTGTGCCGCCAGCGCATGGCGGCGCGCTGTGCGGAGCGTGGGGAGGGCGTCCCGCCGGCGCCCGCCCACGGCTCGCGCGTCAGCAGCGTCTCGTCCCAGCAGAGCGACGCGGCCCAGCGCAGCCCATCGTCACGCAGCAGCTCCTCCTCGTGGTGCGAGGAGCCCGTCGCCTCCACCATGGACATTTCCACCGGCCACATGGTGCTGGTGAGCCCCCCGCCCGCCCCCCACGCCGCCCGCCCCCCACTCGCCCCCCACGCCGCTCGCCCCTTAATCGGCATGCGTTGACGGAGCCTCCGGCCACCGTTTCTGGACCCGGTTCTCAATTGCTGAGCGGTGCCCCCCCCCCCCCCCCAGGCCTACATGGAGGACCACCTGAGCAACAAGGAGCGGCTGAGCCGCGAGTGGGAGTCGCTGTGCTCGGAGCAGGCGGACCCCGCGGTGTGCACCGTCGCACTGGCGCCGCAGCACGCGCACAAGAACCGTACCGCGCACTCCACACCCTGTACGGCGCACACACACGCACACACACGCACGCACACACACACGCACACACTCACACACTCATACACTCATAAACAAACACACACATACATTCATACACACACGCACACACACGCACAAAGACACGCACACATGCACACACTCATACACTCATACACACGCACACACATGCACACGCGCACACATACACACACACGCACGCACACACGCACACACGCACACTCATACACACACGCACACACAAACACTCATGCACACACGCACACACACATACACACGCACACACGCACACACGCACACACATACACATGCACACACGCACACACATACACACACGCACACACATACACACACGCACGCACACACATACACACACACACACTCATACACACGCGCACACGCACACACGCACACTCATACACTCACGCACACACGCACACTCATACACTCACGCACGCACACACGCACACACTCATACAACAACAACAACAACCGCCATTCGCCACTAAGTGGCGGTGACGTCACCACTACGCTTGTGCCAGGCCAAGTGCACCTTGAGGCCACGTGAAGTGTCGAACGCCCGCTGGCAGGTCACAGGGCAGACCCAGCAGGTGCCACGGGTCGACTGACCTAGATAACCGAGATGACTGGCTGATGCACCAGCTGTGCCCCCTACTGTACCAACTTGCTGTGCTTTAGCCACCAGGCGCTCCGCTCGTTGTTGTGAGCGTCGCTCCTCCGCCTTCCTTTGTTGTTGGAGGGCGACTGCCTCCAACTGCCCAGTAGCGTCCTTCACGAGCCTCCTCCACTGAGGGCGATCTTGACACCGCTGGTAACCAGTCATCGGCAAGTCCACTCAGCTCCACGTCCTCCTGTACCACATCACTCCATCTCCTCTCTAGCCCGTGCCGCGCCCGTTTAGCCCCCTCGATCCGGCCGAACAAAAGCTGTTTAGGCATGCGGTGGCTGGGCATGCGGGCTACATGACCCAGCCAATGCAGCCTTGCCTGCCGGAGGAGCTCACCGATGGGACTTTGCCCAGATCTTTCAAGGATTTGTGAGCTCCTCACACAATCCAGCCTGGTTAAACCCAGGATGGATCGTAGGCAGGCCAGCCTAAATGTTTCCAACCGGCGAAGATGCTCCATTAGGGGGGTCCACGTTTTGCAAGCGTAGAGAAGGAAGGGAATGACCGTGGCCGAGAAGACCTGAAGCTTCGTGCAGGAGCGACAGACCAGGTAGCTTCAACACAGCGTTACGCAACCAATGAAAAGATATTGCCGCTCGACTGATTCGGAGTGAGACCTCTGCTGGTAAACTGAAGCCGGTCATAAGCACACTGCCCATGTATGGGAAACTCTCCACTCTCTCCACAATTGCCCCATCACCGATTGGGAGTTGTGGGGGTGGAGTGTCCGATGGTACAAAATACCCAGGCAGGTGCTTAGTTTTGGTGGGGCTGATGGTAAGGCCCCACCTCTTAGTGGCATACTCCAGTCTCAGCAGCAGCGTCTCCAATGAGCAGCTATTACCAAATCATCGGCATCATTAACGTGGTTGACCAATAGGGAGCCATCCCTTGATCGCACCCGGGCGTCGATCAGCCTCCCATTATATCTGTACCAAATGGAAATTCCCCCGGTACAGCTATTGAAGGCTTCACGAACTAAGCAGTCGAAATAGATGTTAAATAATGTGGGAGCCAGAGGACATCCCTGTCCAACCCAAGGTGTACAGGGAAAGGCTCCGACTCCCGGCCACGTAGTTTTACCCGGGCCCGCTCACCATCATGAAGGTCCTTAATGATCGTGAGCAGAGGGTCAGGGACTCCGAAAGCACGAAGAACAACCCAGAGTCCAGGCCTACTGATGGTATCATAGGCCTTGACCAGGTCAATAAAGCAGAGATGTAGGTCTTGTTGGAATTCCCTACACCTCTGCTGTAGCAGACGGACAGAAAATATGCCATCTGTACAGGACCGCCCTTTCCTGAAACCGCATTGGGGTTCCGCAAGCCTCTCCTCAGCGTTCCTAGCAAGGCGATGTTGAATAATCCTTGCCAGGACCTTTCCCGGCACACTGATGAGTGAGATGCCCCTGTAGTTCTTCCAGTCTGTGCGGTCCCCCTTCTTAAAGAGGGGGACCACCAGGGCATCCTTCCAATCCTGCGGAACCCGTCCAGTGGTCCAGACTTGTTATGATGTCATATAGGGAAGTCTGTGCACAAACGCCACCCTCCCTCAGCATTTCGCTTGGGAGATCATCTCTGCCTGGTGCCTTTCCTGGTCTCAGACTCCGGATCACCTCTTCCAATGCCTGTTCCTGGAGGTCGGAGAATGGATCACCGTTTTTTCCCCTAATGATTGTAATAGGTGTGGCGCTGCAGGTTACTTTTTTGATGGAGTTAAATAGTGATTTGTGATCGCGGGCTACTGAGGCAGACTCCATCTCCTCAGCAACCCGCGACCACCACCCATCCTTGCAGTGCCTTACGGCTCTCCGAACCTCCGAGCGAAGGTTGCGGTAAACCTCCTCATTCTCTGACGTGGGATGCTGTAGCCGATGAGAGTGGGCCTGCCGCTTTTTCTCAATTAAACTGAACACCTCCTCTGTCAGCCAGGGTTTCTGGGGAGGTCTGGACCGCGTACCCAAAGCAGTCATTGCCGCTGCATGAGTCACAGTCCTAAACCTCGCCCATTTACCCTCGACATCAGGAGGAGTGGGGGACGATGCCAACCCCAGCTGCAAGCGATGATGAAATTCTCGCTTGCAACTTTCATCAGCTAACTGAGACCAGGCCACTTTTGGTTTGAATGGGGTCCTGGGTGTACACCCACCACCGGAGTGGAATAATGGCAGGCACATCTTACAGATGACTAGTCGATGGTCAGTGGGCAGATCAGCTCCACGGTAGGTCCTGGTGTCAAGAAGATGGGCTCGCATCCGCTGGTCCGTCACTTTGTAGTCCAGCAGATGTTCTTGCTTGGACCCGGCATGCATCCATGATGTTGTGTGGATGCGCCGATGCCGGAAGAGCGTGTTGGTAATTACAAGCCCATGGGCTGCACAAAAATCTAGCAGCCTCCTACCGTTGTTATTGAGCTGATCTGGCCCATGCCTTCCATTCACTCCAGACCAGGTGCCAGCATCATGACCAACTCGGGCATTGAAGTCACCCAACAAGATGACTCTGTCCCGAGTGGCCACTTTAGCACACGCACACACACACACTCATACACACGCGCACACACGCACACACATGCACACATGCACACACGCACGCACATACGCACACAGGCGCACACTCATACACACACGCACACATGCAGGCACACACGCAGACACACGCGCACTTACGCACACACGTACACACACGCACACTCATACACGCACGCTCATGCACACTCATGCACACTCACACACACACGCACACACACGCACACTCATACACACACACGCACACACACACACGCACACACTCATACACACACACACGCTCATGCACACTCACACGCTCACGCACACATGCACTCACACTCATACAGATGACTAGTCGATGGTCAGTGGGCAGATCAGCTCCACGGTAGGTCCTGGTGTCAAGAAGATGGGCTCGCATCCGCTGGTCCGTCACTTTGTAGTCCAGCAGATGTTCTTGCTTGGACCCGGCATGCATCCATGATGTTGTGTGGATGCGCCGATGCCGGAAGAGCGTGTTGGTAATTACAAGCCCATGGGCTGCACAAAAATCTAGCAGCCTCCTACCGTTGTTATTGAGCTGATCTGGCCCATGCCTTTCATTCACTCCAGACCAGGTGCCAGCATCATGACCAACTCGGGCATTGAAGTCACCCAACAAGATGACTCTGTCCCGAGTGGCCACTTTAGCACACGCACACACACACACTCATACACACGCGCACACACGCACACACATGCACACATGCACACACGCACGCACACACGCACACAGGCGCACACTCATACACACACGCACACATGCAGGCACACACGCAGACACACGCGCACTTACGCACACACGTACACACACGCACACTCATACACGCACGCTCATGCACACTCATGCACACTCACACACACACGCACACACACGCACACTCATACACACTCATACACACACACGCACACACACACACGCACACACTCATACACACACACACGCTCATGCACACTCACACGCACACACGCACTCACACTCATACACACACGCACACACACTCATACACACACGCACACATACACACATGCACAGACATACACACACGCACACACGCACACATGCACTCACATACACACGCGCACACTCATGTACACTCACGCACTCACGCACACGCGCACTCACGCACACGCACATTTACACGCACGTGCGCATGCACACATGCACACACGCGCATGCACACATGCACACACACAAAGACAAAGATCCCCCGTGTAGCCTTAACAGATTGTAGGAGCAAGTGCTGTTTGCGAGCACTATTGAAGGCCGGCACGGCACATGAGGGGGTGGGTTACCAACACTACCCTAGTGGCGATGTTTACACACCGCACCAAGTACTCATTTGAGGCTGAGTCGACCTAGGGGAGGCCCAGAACCGGTTCAGATAATCGTCACTGGTGTTGGCCTTTAGCGGGAATCGAACCCGTGTCGCCGGGTTCATAGCGCAGTGGGCTGACCGCTGCACTACTGCTCCCCAAACACACATATAGACGTGCACACACACGCGTACACACACGCGTACACACATACAGACGTGTACACACACGCGTACACACACACATACAGACGTGTACAGACGTACACACACGCGTACACACACACATACAGATGCGCGCACACACGCGTACACACACGCGTACACACACGCTCGCCAGAGTTGCCGATGTTGACGATTGCTTTGCTTGTGTAACTAGGGGGTGATAATGGTGATAACGGCTGTGATGATGATGATGGAGGTGATGGTGAGGATGGTGATAGTCATAATGATGGTGATGATGATGGTGAGGATGGTGAGGATGGTGATGGTGAGGATGGTGATAGTCGTAATGATGGGGATGGTGATGTTGGTGATGATGGTGATGATGGTGATGGAGGTGATGGTGAGGATGGTGATAGTCGTAATGATGGGGATGGTGATGATGGTGATGATGGTGTTGGAGGTGATGGTGAGGATGGTGATAGTCGTAATGATGGGGATGGTGATGATGGTGATGACGGCTGTGATGATGATGGTGATGATAGTGATGACGGCTGTGATGATGATGGTGATGATGGTAATGATGATGATGATGGTGATGATGGCGGCTACGATGATGATGATGGTGATGATGGTGATGATGGTGGTGATGGTGGTGGTGATGGCTGTGATGATGATGGTGATGATGGTGATGATGGTGGTGACGGCTGTGATGATGATGGTGATGATGGTGATGGAGGTGATGGTGATGATGGTGATGGTGAGGATGGTGATGATGGTGATGGAGGTGATGGTGATGATGGTGAGGATGGTGATGATGATGATGGTGATGATGGTGATGATGGTGATGATGGTGATGGAGGTGATGGTGATGATGGTGATGGTGAGGATGATGATGGTGATGATGGTGATGATGGTGATGGAGGTGATGATTGTGATGGTGATGATGGTGATGATGGTAATGAGTGCCCGTCCTGCCCCGCCGCTCCTCCCCCCCAGACGACCACGCTCGCATCGTCCTCAAGGCCGACGTCAACCCCTCCCACTCGGACTACATCAACGCCAGCCCCATCGTGCGTGGTCCCCCATCACCACCAACATCATCACCAGGATCACCACCACCAGCATCATCACCACTACCCTCACGATCACCACCACGAACATCACCAGTACCACCACAAGCACCATCACCACCACCAGCAGCACCACTACCATCACCACCACCAACATCACCACTACCACCACAAGCACCACCACTACAATCACCACCACCACCGACGTTATTACCACCGTCACCACCAACAACAACATCAACTGCCATTCGCCACTAAGTGGCGGTGACGTCACCACGACGCTTGTGCCAGGCTATGTGCACCTTGAGGCCTCGTGAAGTGTCGAACGCCCGCTGGCAGGAGGTCACGGGGCAGACCCAGGTGCCACAGGTCGACTGACGTAGACATCTGGCTGATGCACCACCTGTGCCCCCTACTGTGACAACTTGCTGTGCTTTAGCCACCCGGCGCTCCTCTCGTTGTTGTGAGCATCGCACCTCTGCCCTCCGTTGTTGTTGGAGGGCGACTACCTCCAACTGCCCAGTAGCGTCCTTCACGAGCCTCCTCCACAGAGGCCGATCTTGACACCGCTGGTACCAGTCATCGACAAGTCCACTCAGCTCCACATCCTCATGTACCACATCACTCCATCTCTTCTCTAGCCCGTGTCACTGCCCATGTAGCCCCCAGGAACCGGCCGAACAAAAGCTGTTTAGGCATGCGGTGGCTCGGCATGTGGGCTGCATGGCCCAGCCAGCGCAGCCTTGCCTGCTGGAGGAGCTCGCCGATGGGACTTTGCCCAGATCTTTCAAGGATTTGTGAGCTCACAAAATCCAGATTAAACTCAGAATGGATCGTAGGCAGGCCAGCCTAAATGTTTCTAACCGGAAAAGATGTTCCATAAGGGGGCCCACGATTCGCAAGCATAGAGAAGGGAAGGAATGACTGTGGCTGAGAAGACCTGAAGCTTCGTGCGGAGTGACAGACCAGGTAGCTTCCACACAGCGTTATGCTACCGATGAAAAGAAATGCCGCTCGACTGATTTGGAGTGAGACCTTTGCTGTTAAACCGGAGCCGGTCATAAGCACACTGTCCAGGTATGGGAAACTCTCCACTCTCTCCACAACTGCCCCATCACCAATTTGGAGTTGTGGGGGTGGAGTGGCCGATGGTACAAAATACCCAGGCAGGTGCTTAGTTTTGGTGGGGCTGATAGTAAGTCCCCACCTCTTAGTGGCACGCTCCAGGTTGAGCAGCAGCAGCGCCTCCAAATCTCCTCTGAGTGAGCAGCAATTACCAGATCATCGGCATACAGATGTAGAGGTGATACGCGCTGGGATTAGAGATCGTATGCCAGCGCGTAATGATTGGCTGTGGACGGGTGACGTGCTGAGAGGGAGTGATCGGGTGGCAGCGCGGTGTGATTGGTGGAGGAGTGTTAACACGCGCTGGGGAAAACGGATCGTAGAGAGAGTGCGTCGTGATTGGTTCATTAAGGAGCGATGCTCACGTTGAAGTACGCATCAGCTCCGCCTCTCGTGAGCAGGGGCTATAAAAGGGGATGCACACAGGCGTGAGAGGAGAGTGTGTAACCAGCGAAGAATGAAGACGGGGATGAAGACCTAGGGCCCTGCGGTACCTAGTCCCGCTGTCCTAACGGGACCGGGACTCTGTGTAACCCAGAGGCGAGTGTAGTGTGTGTAGCCAGAGGCGTAAGGTCTACACGAGCCGAATGCAGTGTATTGTGTAGCCAGGGACATAGGGTCTACACGAGTCGAGTGTATTGTGTAGCCAGAGGCGTAGGGTCTACACGAGTGAAGGGTATCGTGTGTAGCCAGAGGCCTAGAGTTTACACGAGAGTAGTGGAGTGTGAAGTCGGAAGAAAGGAGACTACACGTTGTATTTTGATACGTAAAGATTTAATAAAAGTGTGTTCCCGTCAAGAAGTTCCTGCCGTCAATTCCCATACTTCAACTGGCGTCAGAAGTGAAACGGTCTTCCAAGCATGGATACAAGGAGGAACCGTCGGACCCACGGGATTGACCACGGGGACAACCTCGACGACGCGGGCCAGCTGGCATCGGGGGGTGAGGAAGAGGAGTTGCCCACGGGGCAGGATCCGCCGACGGCGCCGGACGAGAGACGGGGGACTGACGCCGTGCTTCGCGAAGCGCACTCCCGTCTGGCGGAGCTGCTGCTCGCCGCCGCGTCCATCCTGGCGGAGATCAGCTCGTCGGGAGGAGCGGGAACGGCGGCCGACGTTCTGCAGGGTCGCCCTGCAGATTCCCGCCAAAACGATTTGGCGATGGCCGCCATTTCATCTGCACCGACTTTTGGCGGGAACGGCCATCACCACGTGGCAGCGGTTCTCCATGCGCGCCCGCTGACGTCACCAACGCGCGCGGCGGACCGCCATCACACACCCGCCGAGGGGGCCGCCATCTTACACACCGACGGGGCGGCAGAGAGGAAGCACGAGGAGGAGGACGACTTCATCTTTCAGCAGCGCCTTCCCACGTTGTCAGCCTTCAAGGCGGAAGGCGGGGATTGGAGCCAATTTCAGCGCAGATTTTTGGCGCATCAGGAGATGTCCGCCTGGTCCGACGCTACGGCACTGCGGGCACTGCCTGCCATGCTGGATGACAACGCGCTCGCGGCCTTCACGTCCGCACGCAGGTCGGACCGCTCCACGCTCAAGGATGCGCTGGCTCTCATGGCCAAGGTCTATGGTCCTCCCTCGGTGTGCCGCCATCATTTTTATGCAAGACGGAAGGCGGACACGGAGACCGTGCTCGCCTACCGCACGGCGTTGCTTGCTCTCGCCGACGCCGCGTTCCCTCGTATGGACGAGGAGGGGCAAGATGCCATGGTTTTGGAGCAGCTGCTCAAGTTGGCGCAGGACCTGGGGGTCCCCATCAACACGGCCGATGAGACCGATATTTCATCCTTACGGGTCGCCACAAGCATACAAGCGCACGAGGTCCTTCAACGTAAACAGGGAGTCGTCTGCAACGCTGCCGTGGCCTCAACTCCGGGCCCAGTTGTCACCGTGCCCCAAGTCGTCAGCCCACGAGAGGAGGCGTTCATCGTGGGACGACCGGGGGACTGGAGATCGGGGGGTCGTTCGCCTCTGCGAGCGGCCCGCAAGCTGGAGCAACCGAGATCTCCGACGACTGTCATCACCTGCTATAACTGCGGCCTCCGGGGCCACGTGGCCTCCGGTTGCCGCGCCCCACGTCAGCGCGCCATGGGACCGCGGCTGGACAACGACCAAGGCCCCAAGTCGTCCCTGCAAACCCCGGCGAGTCGCGGCACCTCACATGCTCGGCCCGCATACTCGACACATATGGGTCGTCGCGTTGCGGCGGGGGAGAGCCGAGTAGAGTTCGGGGATTCGGTTCGGAGAGGGGGATTCGGCCGGGACCGGGGAGACATTAAATGGTCGGAGTTGGGGCACAGAATAGTGGCTGCCAGAGCGGGTTCATCCGTCGTTACGGGATCTATTGATGGGGTCGAGGTCAGGGTGTTAGTGGACACGGGGGCATCGGCGACTATTATATCGGATCTCATTTACAACATTCTCCCTGTACAATGTCGTCCGCTGCTTCCAGTGGATGTGCCATTTTACGCCGCTAATGGGGGATCGTTGGGCATTATCGGTCAGATTAGGGCGTCTATTTGCATTGGGGATATCAAATTGTCGGGACCCGTTTTCGTTTCGTCCTCCCTGGCGGTTCCTTGTCTATTGGGCACAGATTTTTTGGCAAAAATGCCCATCAAAATTCTCATTGATCAGCGTTGCATTGAACTACCATCGGGTCGCCGTATTTCATTTTTGACGAACCCTACTGAAATTCGGACGGCGTGCGCTACGATACAAGCGTTAGCAACACAGACTGTGCACGTGCCCCCGGGTTCACAAATGTTAATTCCCCTCCGGTTGCGGAAACCATGGGTGAGGGAGACCTCGGATCAAGGCACGCTTTTGGGTCCTTCTAATAGGGCTGTTGGAGGTCTCGATTTGTCGGTGGCTCACACTTTGGTTGGGGCTGACAGGGATCCGGTTGTCAGGGGTTTAAACGCTGGGTCGCGGCCGGCCGTCATTCAGCAGGGCACCGTGCTAGCTCACGCGGCACGCGTCCCTGCGGAAGAGCGGCTGGTTGCGCAGGCTGATCCGAGCCCCACGCAAAACGTTAATCCGAAGAAGGACCTCGAATGGGTCGATTCGCTGTGCGCGCGACACACAAATGCCGATGCTCTGTCGCGATTGTTGCCTTGTCACAAATGTGCGTGCTTATCGGGATCGGCGCGCTGTAAACCGCCGGTTACGGAAGGTAGGGAGGCGTTGGTTGCGGCCGCGAGCACACCAATTGGGGATGGTCCCGCTACCCCTGGGGGTCAGGACTCGCTGCTCTCACTGTCATTGATTGAGTGGGGCCGTCTCCAAATGGCGGACAGCTCCCTGCTGGCATTGCGCCGCAAGACGGGGGGTTCCGAAGGTAACCACGACCGAACTGGCTCCTACGAGCTTAAGCAAGGCCTATTGATGAGATGGGACAGTTTGTCCCGGCGGCATGCGATTGTGGTGCCTGCTGCTGTGAGGGGGAAGGTTGTCTTGGCCGCACATGAACGCCTCTTGCATTTGGGAGTTAACAAATTGCTTGCCCTGCTTCAGCGTGACTATTATTGGCCGGGAATGGGGGGTGACGTGGTGAATATTCTGAAGGGTTGTGTTGAGTGCGCCAGACGGAAACCACCGCCTGTGGCAGCTAATCCACCGCTGCAATCCATCCAGGTCTCGCGCACTAACGAGCTCGTTGCACTCGATATTCTGGGGCCTTTTCCGGTCACGCCTAGGGGTAATAAGTACCTGTTGGTGGGGGTCGAATATTTTACCCGGTGGCCTATGGCGTGGCCACTCGCCAACCAGTCGGCGGCGGCTGTGACGGACGCCTTTGTCCAGGGCTACGTCCGGGACAAGGGGGCTCCCGAACGCTTGCTGATTGACCAAGGGAAAATTTTTTCGAGTAAATTACTGCAAGAGGTGTGCGACCTGTTGGGTACCAAGAAGGTGCGTACCTCCCCGTACCACCCGCAGACGGACGGGATGGTGGAGAGGCTTAACAGGACATTGACTTCTATGTTGTGCCAGCAGGTGTGTGAGGCACATGTTGATTGGGACCTGCAGGTCCCTGGGGTCCTCGCCGCGTATAGAATGGCCCCCCATGCAGCTACGGGATTTTCCCTGTTTTATCTGATGTACGGTCGGGAAGCCGACCCGCCCATGGAAACGCAGCTGGGTCTGTCCGCACCACGAGCAAATTCGAAATTGGCAGAGCATATTAAATTTAATATTCATAAGCTGACAGAGGCAAGGGAGGCCGCACGGCTTAATTCACGGGCTCGCCAAATTGCAAACGAGCGGTTGCGGGCACGGAAGGTGTCCGTGCACAATTGGGAACCAGGTGACAGGGCCTGGCTGCATTGCCCGCAGGCACCTTTGGCTACGTCGCCTAAATTGTTGAAGCCGTGGCGGGGACCCGTGGAGGTCGTGCGGGTTGCACGCCCCCAGTGCGTTCAGATAAAATGGGGAAAACGCCGTTGGTACGTCCACCCCTCCCGACTGAAACCGTTCTCGCCTCCGTATGGCCTCCCCTTGTGTCATGAGGGCCGAGCATGTGACGTGACCAGCGACCCTGAGGGGGAATTGTCTTTGCCTGCTCCTCACATGTCTCCGCCTGATCCGCTCCCAGGTGTCTCGGAACTGACAGCTGCCGACCACCGGCGGCCGGATCTTGAGCGGCCGGAGCCACCGGACGGTCGCCAACAGCCCGTCCCATACGACGGACCGGCCAGACGGACTCGCGCTAGGTCGCGCTACTTTGTGTGACCTGCCACGTGAGGAGTCGAGGCAGCCGGAGCGCCTCGGCACTGCGTTTAGTCACAGAGACACTTGGCGCGTTCGTTTTCCGGTGTTCGCTTTTATTGTGTTCGTTTTCCGGTGTTCGCTTTTATTGTGTTGTTCGTCGGGCTGTATATTGCTTCATATTTAAGTGTTGTGTTGTGTTGTTGTTGTTGCGTTACGGGGCACACTGACAGGTGGAGTTTCTTTGTTACTGCATTGACGTTAGGTTGTGTTGTTGGTTAACAGCCGGGCCGGCTGCAAGCTATGTGGGAGGGGGTGATGTAGAGGTGATACGCGCTGGGATTAGAGATCGTATGCCAGCGCGTAATGATTGGCTGTGGACGGGTGACGTGCTGAGAGGGAGTGATCGGGTGGCAGCGCGGTGTGATTGGTGGAGGAGTGTTAACACGCGCTGGGGAAAACGGATCGTAGAGAGAGTGCGTCGTGATTGGTTCATTAAGGAGCGATGCTCACGTTGAAGTACGCATCAGCTCCGCCTCTCGTGAGCAGGGGCTATAAAAGGGGATGCACACAGGCGTGAGAGGAGAGTGTGTAACCAGCGAAGAATGAAGACGGGGATGAAGACCTAGGGCCCTGCGGTACCTAGTCCCGCTGTCCTAACGGGACCGGGACTCTGTGTAACCCAGAGGCGAGTGTAGTGTGTGTAGCCAGAGGCGTAAGGTCTACACGAGCCGAATGCAGTGTATTGTGTAGCCAGGGACATAGGGTCTACACGAGTCGAGTGTATTGTGTAGCCAGAGGCGTAGGGTCTACACGAGTGAAGGGTATCGTGTGTAGCCAGAGGCCTAGAGTTTACACGAGAGTAGTGGAGTGTGAAGTCGGAAGAAAGGAGACTACACGTTGTATTTTGATACGTAAAGATTTAATAAAAGTGTGTTCCCGTCAAGAAGTTCCTGCCGTCAATTCCCATACTTCACATAATATGGTTGAGCATTAGGGAGCCATCCCTTGACCGCATCCGGGCATCGATCAGCCTCCCATTGTATCTGTACCAGATGGAAATTCCTCCGGTACAGCTATTGAAGGCTTCACGAACTACGTGGTCGAAATAGATGTTAAATAATGTGGGAGCCAGAGGACATCCCTGTCGCACCCCAAGGTGTACAGGGAATGGCTCTGACTCCCGGCCACGTAGTTTTACCCGGGCCCGCTCACCATAATGAAGGTCCTTAATGATCATGAGCAGAGGGTCAGGGACTCTGAAAGCACGAAGAACAAACCAGAGCCCAGGCCTACTGATGGTATCATAGGCCTTGACCAGGTCAATAATAGAGCAGAGATGTAGGTCTTGTTGGAATTCCCTACACCTCAGCTGTAGCAGACGGACATAAAATATGGCATCTGTGCAGGACTGCCCTTTCCTGAAACCGCATTGGGGGTCCGCATGCCTCTCTCCTCAGCTTGCCTAGCAAGGCGATGTTGAATAATCCTTGCCAGGAACTTTTCTGGCACACTGAGGAGTGAGATGCTCTTGTAGTTGTTACAGTCTGTGCGGTCCCCCTTCCACCACTATCACCACCATCACCACCAGCATCACCATCACCACCATCACCACCATCATCACCAGCATCACCATCACCACTATCACCACCATCACCACCATCATCACCATCACCACCATCACCACTATCATCACTATCATCACCATCAGCACAATCATCACCACCATCACCACCATCACCACTATCACCACCATCACCACCATCACCACCATCATCACCATCAGCACCATCATCACCACCATCACCACCATCACCACCATCGCCACTATCACCACCATCACCACCATCACTACCATCACCACCATCATCACCACTATCATCACCATAACCACCATCATCACCATCATGACCCCCGCTATCCCTACAACCCAGTCTGGCACCTGTACTCCCCCCCCTCCCCACGTGGTCCCTGTGCCCCCCCCACGTGGTCCCTGTGCCCCCCCCCACCCACGTGGTCCCTGTGCTCCCTCCCCCCACGTGGTCATTGTGCCACCCCTCCACGTGGTCCCTGTGCCCCCTCCCCCCACGTGGTCCCTGTGCCACCCCCCACGTGGTCCCTGTGCCACCCCCACGTGGTCCCTGTGCCCCCCCTCCACGTGGTCATTGTGCCTTCCCCCCCAGATGGACCACGACCCTCGCAGCCCATCCTACATCGCCACCCAGGGGCCTCTCCCCCACACGGTCGCAGACTTCTGGCAGGTGATGTCGTGTGGTGATGGTGATGTTGGTGGTAGTGGTGATGTTGGTGGTGATGATGTTGATGATGGTTGTGATGGTGCAGATGGTGTGGGAGCAGGGCTACATGGTGCTGGTGGTGATGATGATGGTGTTAATGATGATGATGGTGGTGATGGTGCAGATGGTGTGGGAGCAGGGCTACATGGTGCTGGTGGTGATGATGATGATGTTAATGACGATGATGATGGTGGTAATGTTGGTGTTGATGATGATGATGGTGGTGATGATGGTGTTAATGATGATGATGATGGTGGTGATGGTGCAGATGGTGTGGGAGCAGGGCTGTGTGGTGCTCGTGATGGTGGTGATGTTGGTTATGATGATGATGGTGTTAACGATGATGATGGTGGTGATGTTGGTGATGATGATGATGGTGGTGGTGATGATGGTGTTAACGATGCTGATGGTGGTGATGATGATGGTGGTGGTGATGATGGTGTTAACGATGATGATGGTGGTAATGTTGGTGTTGATCGTGATGATGGTGGTGATGATGGTGTTAACGATGATGATGGTGGTGGTGATGGTGCAGATGGTGTGGGAGCAGGGCTGTGTGGTGCTGGTGTTGGTGGTGATGTTGGTGATGATGATGATAGTGTTAACGATGATGATGGTGGTGGTGATGATGGTGTTAACGATGCTAATGGTGGTGATGATGATGATGCTGGTGGTGATGATGATGATGTTAATGACGATGATGATGGTGGTGGTGATGATGGTGTTAACGATGATGATGGTGGTGGTGGTGATGATGGTGTTAACGATGATGATGGTGGTAATGTTGGTGTTGATGATGATGATGATGGTGGTGATGATGGTGTTAACGATGATGATGGTGGTGATGATGATGGTGGTGGTGATGATGGTGTTAACGATGATGATGGTGGCGATGATGATGGTGGTGGTGATGATGGTGTTAACGATGATGATGGTGGTAATGTTGGTGTTGATCGTGATGATGGTGATGATGGTGTTAACGATGATGATGGTGGTGGTGATGGTGCAGATGGTGTGGGAGCAGGGCTGTGTGGTGCTGGTGTTGGTGGTGATGTTGGTGATGATGATGATAGTGTTAACGATGATGATGGTGGTGATGTTGATGATGATGATGATGGTGGTGGTGATGATGGTGTTAATGATGATGATGGTGGTGATGGTGCAGATGGTGTGTGAGCAGGGCTGCGTGGTTCTGGTGATGGTGTTAATGATGATGGTGGTGGTGATGGTGCAGATAGTGTGGGAGCAGGGCTACGTGGTGCTGGTGATGTTGGTGCTGGTGGTGATGATGGTGTTAACGATGATGATGGTGGTGGTGGTGGTGCAGATGGTATGGGAGCAGGGCTGCGTGATGCTGGTGATGTTGGTGATGATGATGATGGTGGTGATGGTGCAGATGGTGTGGGAGCAGGGCTGCGTGGTGCTGGTGATGTTGGTGATGATGTTAACGATGATGATGATGGTGGTGGTGATGGTGCAGATGGTGTGGGAGCAGGGCTGCGTGGTGCTGGTGATGTTGGTGATGATGATGTTGGTGTTAACGATGATGATGGTGGTGATGTTGGTGATGATGATGATGGTGGTGGTGATGATGGTGTTAACGATGATGATGGTGGTGATGATGATGGTGGTGGTGATGATGGTGTTAACGATGATGATGGTGGTGATGATGGTGTTAACGATGATGATGGTGGTGGTGATGGTGCAGATGGTGTGGGAGCAGGGCTGCGTGGTTCTGGTGATGGTGTTAATGATGATGGTGGTGGTGATGGTGCAGATAGTGTGGGAGCAGGGCTACTTGGTGCTGGTGATGTTGGTGCTGGTGGTGATGATGGTGTTAACGATGATGATGGTGGTGGTGGTGGTGCAGATGGTATGGGAGCAGGGCTGCGTGGTGCTGGTGATGTTGGTGATGATGTTCACGATGATGATGATGGTGGTGGTGATGGTGCAGATGGTGTGGGAGCAGGGCTGCGTGGTGCTGGTGGTGATGATGATGGTGTTAATGATGATGATGATGGTGGTGGTGATGATGGTGTTAATGATGATGATGGTAATGACGATGATGATGGTGGTGGTGATGGTGCAGATGGTGTGGGAGCAGGGCTGCGTGGTGCTGGTGGTGATGATGATGGTGTTAATGATGATGATGATGGTGGTGATGGTGCAGATGGTGTGTGAGCAGGGCTGCGTGGTTCTGGTGATGGTGTTAATGATGATGGTGGTGGTGATGGTGCAGATAGTGTGGGAGCAGGGCTACGTGGTGCTGGTGATGTTGGTGCTGGTGGTGATGATGGTGTTAACGATGATGATGGTGGTGGTGGTGGTGCAGATGGTATGGGAGCAGGGCTGCGTGATGCTGGTGATGTTGGTGATGATGATGATGGTGGTGATGGTGCAGATGGTGTGGGAGCAGGGCTGCGTGGTGCTGGTGATGTTGGTGATGATGTTAACGATGATGATGATGGTGGTGGTGATGGTGCAGATGGTGTGGGAGCAGGGCTGCGTGGTGCTGGTGATGTTGGTGATGATGATGTTGGTGTTAACGATGATGATGGTGGTGATGTTGGTGATGATGATGATGGTGGTGGTGATGATGGTGTTAACGATGATGATGGTGGTGATGATGATGGTGGTGGTGATGATGGTGTTAACGATGATGATGGTGGTGATGATGGTGTTAACGATGATGATGGTGGTGGTGATGGTGCAGATGGTGTGGGAGCAGGGCTGTGTGGTGCTGGTGTTGGTGGTGATGTTGGTGATGATGATGATAGTATTAACGATGATGATGGTGGTGATGTTTGTGATGATGATGATGGTGGTGGTGATGATGGTGTTAATGATGATGATGGTGGTGATGGTGCAGATGGTGTGTGAGCAGGGCTGCGTGGTTCTGGTGATGGTGTTAATGATGATGGTGGTGGTGATGGTGCAGATAGTGTGGGAGCAGGGCTACTTGGTGCTGGTGATGTTGGTGCTGGTGGTGATGATGGTGTTAACGATGATGATGGTGGTGGTGGTGGTGGTGCAGATGGTATGGGAGCAGGGCTGCGTGGTGCTGGTGATGTTGGTGATGATGTTCACGATGATGATGATGGTGGTGGTGATGGTGCAGATGGTGTGGGAGCAGGGCTGCGTGGTGCTGGTGGTGATGATGATGGTGTTAATGATGATGATGATGGTGGTGGTGATGATGGTGTTAATGATGATGATGGTAATGACGATGATGATGGTGGTGGTGATGGTGCAGATGGTGTGGGAGCAGGGCTGCGTGGTGCTGGTGGTGATGATGATGGTGTTAATGATGATGATGATGGTGGTGGTGATGGTGTAGATGGTGTGGGAGCAGGGCTGTGTGTTGCTGGTGTTGGTGATGATGTTGGTGATGATGGTGTTAATGATGATGATGGTGGTGATGTTGGTGATGATGATGATGGTGGTGGTGATGGTGCAGATGGTGTGGGAGCAGGGCTGCGTGGTGCTCGTGATGCTCACGCCGCTCAGTGAGAACGGCGTGCGGCAGTGCCAGCGCTATTGGCCCGACGAGGGCTCCAACCTCTACCACATCTACGAGGTGCCCCCAAACCCGCCCCCCCAGCCCCCCCCGCCCTCCCAGCCCCCCCCCAGGACCCCCAGCCCCCACACAGACGCCCCAGGTAGCCCACGCCGCCCCGCGGGGCAAGGGTCCTCACCGAGCGCCTGCCAAGGCCGCCTTTGTCTCCCCAGTGGCGAGGCCAGGTATTCGTTTCGGGCTGACTCGACCTAGGGGAGGCCCAGAACCGGTTAAGGTATTCGTCAGTGATTTTGGTGGTGAGTGGGGATCGAACTCGGCAGTGTCCGCGTTCGTAGCGCGCACGCACAACCACCACTACACAACAACAACACAACTACCACTACACAACAACAACACAACCACCACAGCACAACAACAACACAACAACAACACAACCACCATAACACAACAACAACACAACCACCATAACACAACAACAACAACACAACCACCACTACAACACAACCACCATAACACAACAACAACAACCACCATTACACAACAACAACAACAACACAACCACCACTACACAACAACAACACAACTACCACTACACAACAACAACACAACCACCACAACACAACAACAACACAACCACCATTACACAACAACAACACAACCACCATTACACAACAACAACACAACCACCATTACACAACAACAACACAACCACCATTACACAACAACAACAACACAACCACCATTCCACAACACAACAGCAACACAACCACCATAACACAACAACAACAGAACCACCATAACAACAACACAACCACCATATCACAACAACAACACAACCACCATAACACAACAACACAACCACAGCAGCAACACACAACTACAACACAACCACAATGAGATCCACAACTCAACAACAACCACAACGAAATGGCAGTGACGTCACTGCGGCGCTTGTGCCAGGCTAGAATGCTTACTGCTGGCAGGAGGTCATGGGACAGACCCAGGTCCTGTGGGTTGACTGATGTACTAGGCTAGGTGCAGGAGGTCATGGGACAGACCCAGGTCCTGTGGGTTGACTGATGTACTAGGCTAGGTGCAGGAGGTCACGGGGCAGACCCAGGTGCTGTGGGTTGACTGCTGTGCCAGGCTAGGTGCAGGAGGTCATGGGACAGACCCAGGTGCTGTGGGTTGACTGCTGTGCCAGGCTAGGTGCAGGAGGTCACGGCGCAGACCCAGGTCCTGTGGGTTGACTAATGTGCCAGGCTGGGTGCAGGAAGTCACGGGACAGACCCAGGTGCTGTGGGTTGACTGCTGTGCCAGGCTAGGTGCAGGAGGTCACGGGGCAGACCCAGGTGCTGTGGGTTGACTGATGTGCCAGGCTGCGTGCAGGAAGTCACGGGGCAGACCCAGGTGCTGTGGGTTGACTGCTGTGCCAGGCTAGGTGCAGGAGGTCATGGGACAGACCCAGGTGCTGTGGGTTGACAGATGTGCCAGGCTAGGTGCAGGAGTTTCACGGGGCAGACCCAGGTGCTGTGGGTTGACTGATGTGCCAGGCTGGGTGCAGGAAGTCACGGGGCAGACCCAGGTGCTGTGGGTTGACTGCTGTGCCAGGCTAGGTGCAGGAGGTCATGGGACAGACCCAGGTGCTATGGGTTGACAGATGTGCCAGGCTAGGTGCAGGAGTTTCACGGGGCAGACCCAGGTGCTGTGGGTTGACTGATGTGCCAGGCTGGGTGCAGGAAGTCACGGGGCAGACCCAGGTGCTGTGGGTTGACTGCTGTGCCAGGCTAGGTGCAGGAGGTCATGGGACAGACCCAGGTGCTATGGGTTGACTGAGATGTGTGAGCTCGCCTACACACGCACACACGCACGCGTGACCTCCGCGTGACCTCCGCGTGACCTCCGCGCGACCCCCGGCAGGTGAACCTGGTGTCGGAGCACATCTGGTGCGAGGACTTCCTGGTCCGCAGCTTCTACCTGAAGAACATCCGCAGCGGGGAGACGCGCACCCTCACGCAGTTCCACTTCCTGAGCTGGCCCGACCACGCCGTGCCCGCCTCCACGCGCTCCCTGCTCGACTTCCGCAGGTGGGCGAGCGCCCACCGCGTGCGGCCGCCGGGGCCAGCGCGCGTTGACGCCGGCACGGCGCTTGCCGCTACGACGGGGGGGGGGGGGGGAAGCCGGCCGCCCGGTGCCGATGTTTTATACACACGGAGGCGTGGAGGCACACACACAGCACAGCACAAATACACACGGCACAAATACACACGGCACAAATACACACGGCACAAATACACACGGCACAAAACGCACACGGCACAAACACGCACACGGCACAAATACACACAGCACAATACACACGGCACAAATACACACGGCACAAATACACACGGCACAATACACACGGCAAAATACACACGGCACACACACATACGGCACAATACACACACGGCACACACACACACGGTACAAATACACACGGCACAATACACACGGCACACACACACACGGCACAAACACGCACGGCACAAACACGCACGGCACAAACACGCACATGGCACAAACACGCACACGGCACAAACACGCACACGGCACAAATACATACGGCACAAATACACACGGCACAAATACACACGGCACAAATACACACGGCACAAATACACACGGCACAAATACACACGGCACAAACACACACGGCACAAATACACACGGCACAAATACACACAGCACAAACACGCACACGGCACAAACACACACGGCACAAACACACATGGCACAAATACACACGGCACAAATACACATGGCACAAATACACACGGCACAAACACACACGGCACAAACACGCACACGGCACAAATACACACGGCACAAACACACACGGCACAAATACACACAGCACAAATACACATGGCACAAACACACACGGCACAAATACACACGGCACAAATACACGCGGCACAAATACACACGGCACAAATACACACGGCACAAACACACACGGCACAAACACATACGGCACAAATACACACGGCACAAACACACACGGCACAAAACGCACACGGCACAAATACACACAGCACAATACACACGGCACAAATACGCACGGCACAAATACACACGGCACAAATACACACGGCACAATACACACGGCACAAATACACACGGCACAATACACACGGCACAAATACACACGGCACAATACACACGGCACAAATACACACGGCACAATACACACGGCACACACACACACGGCACATACACACACGGCACACACACGCACAATACACACGGCACAAACACGCACGGCACAAACACGCACACGGCACAAACACGCACACGGCACAAACACGCACACGGCACAAATACACACGGCACAAATACACACGGCACAAATACACATGGCACAAATACACACGGCACAAACACACACGGCACAAATACACACGGCACAAATACACACAGCACAAATACACACGGCACAAACATACACGGCACAAAACGCACACGGCACAAATACACACAGCACAATACACACAGCACAAATACACACAGCATTTGTCTCCCCAGTGCCAATGTGTACACACTGCACCAGGTACCGGTTCAGACAATCGTCACTGATTTTGACCATGAGCAGGAATCGAACTCGGGTCACCAGATTCGTAGCACGGCATAGCGCTAACCGCTACACCACTGATCCCCTACACAGAGAACACACACACATGCACACACACAACACGGCACACACACACGGAGACGCAGATACACGGAGACATGGAGATAGACACACAGCACACACAGCACACACACACACAGCACAAACACACAGCACACACACACAGCACACACATCACACAACACAGCACACACACAGCACACGCACACACAGCACACACACACACAGCACACACATCACACACATCACACAACACAGCACACACAGCACACACACACACAGCACACACATCACACAACACAGCACACACAGCACACACACACACAGTACACACATCACACAACACAGCACACGCGGCACACACACAGCACACACAGCACACACACAGCACACACACAGCACACACATCACACAACACAGCACACACAGCACACACACACACAGCACACACAGCACACACACACAGCACACATCACAACAGCACACACACAGCACACACACACAGCACACACACACACACAACACAGCACACACAGCACACACACACACAGCACACACATCACACAACACAGCACACACAGCACACACACACACACAGTACACACGTCACACAACACAGCACACACGGCACACACGGCACACACACAGCACACACACACACACAGCACACACACAGCACACACAGCACACACACACATCACACACACACACAGCCCACATACACAGCACACACACACACACAGCACACACACACAGCACACACACACAGCACACACAGCACACACACACAGCACACACACACAGCACACGCACAGCACACACACAGCACACACCCATCACACACACAGCACACACACAGCACACACAGCACACACACACCCATCACACAGCACACAACACAGCACACACACACAGCACACACAGCACACACATCACACAACACAGCACACACACACACAGCACACACATCACACAACACACAGCACACACACAGCACACACACACACAGCACACACACACAGCACACACACACACACAGCACACACACACACACACACACATCACACACACACAGCCCACACATCACACACACACAGCCACACACAGCACACACAGCACACACACACAGCACACGCACAGCACACACACACACAGCACACACACACAGCACGCACACACAGCACACACACATCACACAACACAGCACACACACATCACACACATCACACACATCACACAACACACAGCACACACAGCACACACACATCACACAACACACAGCACACACACACAGCACACACACACAGAGCACACACAGCACACACACACCCATCACACACAGCACACACACACAGCACACACACAGCACACATAGCACACACACACAGCACACACAGCACTGCTCCAGGTTCCCCATGAGAGGAGCTCGCAAACTCCCCACTTCGTGGCGCCCCTCCGAGGAGGCCCTCCCGCGTCCTCACCGATGGGCCGCCGCCGCCGTCGGGTGTCCCAGAGCCGGCGCCGTGCGTGGCTGTGGCCGATATCATTTTTGTGACCTGCAGCTCGTACCCTCGCCGCCCAGTTGCATAGTCACAAAAGTGATCATCGGAGGCAGCCGCCCTCCGCACACCTCCAGGCAACGCGCCCTGCAGGAGCAGCGAGGAGGAGGAGGAGCGAGGAGGTGTGACGAGGTGTGACGAGGAGTGGGGAGGAGGAGCGAGGAGATACCGGGCACCGCTCAGTCCCTCGTGACGCTCAGGGTCACCGGCCACCACCCACGCCGGTTGCCGTTCAGAGAAGCGGCTCGTGCTTCAGAAAGTCAGGAACCGGTGACCGATTCCAGTGGGAAGGGCCGTCCATACATGACGTCACGCACCTAGGGGGGGAGGGGGGTCTGACTTTTTGTGACGCTGTGTGACGAGGGGGGGAGGGGGGGTCAAAAATCGGCTAAAATCGCGTGACGTCATTTATGGACGGCCCCTGTGATTGGACCAGCAGGCGGCGAGCCTCCCCACACTTGACCCCACACTTGACCCCACACTTGACCCCACATTTGACTCCACACTTGACCCCACACTTGACCCCACACTTGACCCCACACTTGACTCCACACTTGACCCCACACTTGACCCCACGAGGCCGACCACAGCCCTGAGAGTGCGATCGCCGTTGACACGGCTGCTGGGTGGGGGGCAGTGGAGTTGGGGACCTGGCAGCCGTGTTCAACTCCTCCGTTCCTACCGGGGTGGCGGCGGCGGCGGTGGTGGCGGTGGTGGAGCAGAGCGGGCGGCCCGGCTTGCAGATGGCCCCGCAGAGCGGCTGCTGCCGCTGGTGCCGGCGGTCGTTGTTGTTGTTGCCGTGACAGCGACGTGAGGCGGTCGTTGTTGTTGCCATGACAACGACGTGAGGCGTCGTTGTTGTTGTTGCCGTGACAACGACATGAGGCGTCGTTGTTGTTGCCGTGACAACGACATGAGGCGTCGTTGTTGTTGCCGTGACAACGACATGAGGCGTCGTTGTTGTTGTTGCCGTGACAGCGACGTGAGGCGGTCGTTGTTGTTGCCATGACGACGTGAGGCGTCGTTGTTGTTGTTGCCGTGACAACGACATGAGGCGTCGTTGTTGTTGCCGTGACAACGACATGAGGCGTCGTTGTTGTTGTTGCCGTGACAACGACATGAGGCGTCGTTGTTGTTGTTGCCGTGACAACGACATGAGGCGTCGTTGTTGTTGCCGTGACAACGACGTGAGGCGTCGTTGTTGTTGTTGCCGTGACGACATGAGGCGTCGTTGTTGTTGCCGTGACAACGACATGAGGCGTCGTTGTTGTTGCCGTGACAACGACGTGAGGCGTCGTTTGTTGTTGCCGTGACAACGACGTGAGGCGTCGTTGTTGTTGCCGTGACAGCGACATGAGGCGTCGTTGTTGTTGTTGCCGTGACAGCGACATGAGGCGTCGTTGTTGTTGCCGTGACAACGACGTGAGGCGTCGTTGTTGTTGTTGCCGTGACAACGACGTGAGGCGTCGTTGTTGTTGTTGCCGTGACAGCGACATGAGGCGTCGTTGTTGTTGTTGCCGTGACAGCGACATGAGGCGTCGTTGTTGTTGCCGTGACAACGACGTGAGGCGTCGTTGTTGTTGTTGCCGTGACGACGTGAGGCGTCGTTGTTGTTGCCGTGACAGCGACATGAGGCGTCGTTGTTGTTGTTGCCGTGACAGCGACATGAGGCGTCGTTGTTGTTGCCGTGACAACGACGTGAGGCGTCGTTGTTGTTGCCGTGACAGCGACATGAGGCGTCGTTGTTGTTGCCGTGACAACGACATGAGGCGTCGTTGTTGTTGTTGCCGTGACAGCGACGTGAGGCGTCGTTGTTGTTGCTCTCTCTGTGTGGCGACGTCAGCCTCAGTGTTACCATGGCGACCGTGTCTCGGTGTCACCATGGCGACACGTGTCTCCATGTTCCTGTATGTCTGTTGCCATGGCGACCCATGACTGTGTCTCCATGGTTACACGTGTCTCTGTGTTTCTACGGTAACCCATGACTGTGTCTCCATGGTGACCACATGTCTCAGTAACAAGCGTCTCCCTGTGATAACGAGGATCTCCGTGTGTCTCCATGGCAATCTCGTCTCCAACATGGAGACATGGTAACATGTCCACAATGTTTCCATGGTGATCTGTCTCCGTGGTAACACATCTCCATAGTAATGTCTCTGCGATAACGTCTCCATGGTAATGACAATCCGTGGTAATTTCTACTTGGTAATAAGTATTCGTGGTAACGCGTCTCCGTGGTAACGTGTCCCATGCAGGAAGGTGAACAAGTGTTACCGTGGCCGCTCTTGTCCCATCATCATCCACTGCAGGTGACACCCTGCACCCTGCACTCATCATCTCCTGCACCCAGCACCCTGCACCCTGCATCCAGCACCCGGCACTCAGCATCACCTGCACCCTGCACCCAGCACCCTACACCCTGCATCCAGCACCTGGCACTCAGCATCACCTGCACCCTGCACCCTGCATCCAGCACTCAGCATCACCTGCACCCAGCACCTTGCACTCATTATCCACAGCACCCTGCACCCTGCATCCAGCACTCTGCACTCAGCACCTGCACCCTGCACCTTGCACTCATTATCCACAGCACCCTGCACTCAATCCCCTGCACCCTGCACATTCCGCTCATCGCCCGGCACGTGGCCCGTGTCGATCACAATCCTCATCCCCGGCCCCCACCTCTGCCCGGTAGCGACGGGGCAGGGAGGACGGGCACCTACCTGCTCATCGACATGGTGCTCAACCGCATGGCCAAGGGTGAGGGCAACGCCACACGGGGACCACACGGGACCACACAGAGACCACACAGAGACCCACATGGAGACCACACAGAGACCCACACGGAGACCACACAGAGACCACACAGAGACCCACAGAGACCACACAGAGACCACACAGAGACCCACATGGAGACCACACAGAGACCCACAGAGACCACACAGAGACCACACAGAGACCCACAGAGACCCACATGGAGACCACACAGAGACCACACAGAGACCACACGGAGACCCACAGAGACCCACACAGAGACCACACAGAGACCCACATGGAGACCACACAGAGACCCACAGAGACCACACAGAGACCACACAGAGACCCACATGGAGACCACACAGAGACCACACAGAGACCCACAGAGACCACACAGAGACCACACGGGGTCCACACGAGGTCCACACGGAGACCACACGGAGACCGCACAGAGACCACACAGAGACCCACAGAGACCCACACAGAGACCCACAGAGACCCCCACAGAGACCACACAGAGACCACACGGAGACCGCACAGAGACCACACAGAGACCACACGGGGTCCACACGGAGACCCCACGGAAACCACACGGAGACCACACAGAGACCACACAGAGACCACACGGGGTCCACACGGAGACCCCACGGAAACCACACAGAGACCCACAGAGACCACACAGAGATACACAGAGACCACACGGAGACCACACAGAGACCCACAGAGACCACACAGACCCACAGAGACCACACAGAGACCACACAGAGATACACAGAGACCACACGGAAACCACACAGAGACCACACAGAGATACACAGAGACCACACAGAGACCACACAGAGACCACACGGAGACCACACGGAGACCACACGGAGACCACACAGAGATACATAGAGACCACACAGAGACCACACGGAGACCACACGGAGACCACACGGAGACCACACAGAGATGCACAGAGACCACACGGAGACCACACGGAGACCACACAGAGATACACAGAGACCACACAGAGATACACAGAGACCACACGGAGACCACACGGAGACCACACAGAGATACACAGAGACCACACGGAGACCACACGGAGACCACACAGAGATACACAGAGACCACACGGAGACCACACGGAGACCACACAGAGATACACAGAGACCACACGGAGACCACACGGAGACCACACGGAGATACACAGAGACCACACAGAGATACACGGAGACCACACGGAGACCACACGGGGTCCACATAGAGACCACACAGAGACCACACAGAGATACACAGAGACCACACAGAGACCACACGGAGACCACACGGAGACCACACAGAGACCACACAGAGATACACAGAGATACACAGAGACCACACAGAGACCACACGGAGACCACACGGAGACCACACAGAGATACATAGAGACCACACAGAGACCACACAGAGACCACACGGAGACCACACGGAGACCACAGAGACCACACGGGGACCACACAGAGACCACACGGGGACCACACAGAGACCACACGGAGACCACACAGAGACCACACAGAGACCACACAGAGATACACAGAGACCACACGGAGACCACACAGAGACCCACAGAGACCACACAGACCCACAGAGACCACACAGAGACCACACAGAGATACACAGAGACCACACGGAAACCACACAGAGACCACACGGAGACCACACAGAGAACACAGAGACCACACGGAGACCACACAGAGACCACACGGAGACCACACGGAGACCACACAGAGATACATAGAGACCACACAGAGACCACACGGAGACCACACGGAGACCACACGGAGGCCACACGGAGACCACACAGAGATACACAGAGACCACACGGAGACCACACGGAGACCACACAGAGATACACAGAGACCACACGGAGACCACACGGAGACCACACAGAGATACACAGAGACCACACGGAGACCACACGGAGACCACACAGAGATACACAGAGACCACACGGAGACCACACGGAGACCACACAGAGATACACAGAGACCACACGGAGACCACACGGAGACCACACGGAGATACACAGAGACCACACAGAGATACACGGAGACCACACGGAGACCACACGGGTCCACATAGAGACCACACAGAGACCACACAGAGACCACACGGAGACCACACAGAGACCACACAGAGATACACAGAGATACACAGAGACCACACAGAGACCACACGGAGACCACACGGAGACCACACAGAGATACATAGAGACCACACAGAGACCACACGGAGACCACACGGAGACCACACAGAGACCACACGGGGACCACACAGAGACCACACGGGGACCACACAGAGACCACACGGAGACCACACAGAGACCACACAGAGACCCACACGGAGACCACACGGAGACCACACAGAGACCACACGGGGACCACACAGAGACCACACGGAGACCACACGGAGACCACACAGAGACCACACGGGGACCACACAGAGACCACACGGGGACCACACAGAGACCACACGGAGACCACACAGAGACCACACAGAGACCCACACAGAGACCACACGGAGACCACACAGAGACCACACGGGGACCACACAGAGCTTACACGGGGACCACACAGAGACCACACGGAGACCACACAGAGACCACACAGAGACCCACACGGAGACCACACAGAGACCATACAGAGACCACACAGAGACCACACAGAGTCCACACAGAGACCACACGGAGATCACACAGAGACCACACAGAGACCACACAGAGACCCACACGGAGACCACACATAGACCACACAAAGACCACACAGAGACCACACAGAGACCCACACAGAGACCCACACGGAGACCACACAGAGACCACACAGAGACCACACAGAGACCCACACGGAGACCACACAGAGTCCACACAGAGACCACACGGAGACCACACAGAGACCACACGGGGTCCACACAGAGACCACACAGAGACCACACAGAGACCACACGGGGTCCACACAGAGATACATAGAGACCACACAGAGACCACACGGGGACCACACAGGCAGCCACACGGCTGGCCCCGCGGCTGGGAGCACAATGTGGGTTGGCCTCTTCCCGTGCGCCGGCGGAAGCCTCGGAGGCCCTGTGAGTGGGCGCCCAGCCGTGGCCTCCACGGGTGGCCACGAGCGAGATGAGAGGTGGCAGTGAGCAGCACCAGATGAGAGGGGTGCAGATTAGGAGATAAACATTCAGTGTTTGCGTATTCATGCACATTGTGTTAAGTATGTATCGTGTTTAGCGTAGAACTAGGAGCCAGATCCAACACAGAGGGAGAGAGAGGCCTTGCCTACGAACATCCGTTAGTTAATCAGCCTGACTGCATGTGGAAATCGGAAATACAAGAATGTTCTTGTGTTCAATAAATGTTTGTGAAAGTGTGCACTCCCAGAAGGCCGTGTGGTCAGCTGGGTAGATAAAAGAATAGCTTGACTTCATCCTAAAGTCCGCGTCTCTTGCCTCTCAGGCACTAAGGAGATCGACATCGCAGCCACGCTGGAGCACATCCGCGACCAGCGTGCTGGCATGGTGCGCACGAAGGTACAAACACCCCTCACCGCTCACCCCCCCGACCCCTCGCCCCCCTACCCCTCACCCCCACCCCTCGCCCCACCGACCCCTCACCCCCCACCCCTCACCCCCCCACCCCTCGCCCCCCATCCCTCGGCCCCCCACCCCTCACCCCCCACCCCTCACCCCCCACCCCCCACCCCTCACCCCCCCACCCCTCGCCCCACCGACCCCTCGCCCCCCCACCCCTCGCCCCCCCACCCCTCGCCCCACCGACCCCTCGCCCCCCCACCCCTCGCCCCCCCGACCCCTCACCCCCCCACCCCTCACCCCCCCCGACCCCTTGCCCCACCGACCCCTCGCCCCCCCACCCCTCGCCCCCCCACCCCTCGCCCTTAACCCCTGCCCCCCTCCTTGTCCCCCTCCCCCCCACAGGAGCAGTTTGAGTTTGCGCTCACAGCTCTGGCTGAAGAGGTGAACGCCATCCTCAAGTCGCTCCCCAAGTGACACGGACAAGGAGGTGGAGGAGGTGGAGGGGATGGAGTGGAGCATGAGGACGGTGCGGAAGTGGAGTACAGGAAGAGGAGAAGGGGAAATTGAAGGAGGTGGATGTGGAGGAGGTGGAGTCAGAGGTGGAAGAGGAGAACGAGGGGGGGGGGGGGGGAGGAGGTAGGGTGTGGGGAGGGGGCACAGGTACGGGGTTGACGGGACGGGACGGGAGGAGACGAAGTTGCAGTCGTGTTGACACTGAACGCGAAACTCCATCGCCCCATGGGTGTCTGGGTCTCCCTGAGTGACTGAGTCTCTCTGAGTGACTGAGTGACTGAGTCTGAGTGACTGAGTGACTAAGTGAGTGAGTGAATGAGAGACTGCGTGACTGAATGACTGACTGACTGACTGAGTGACTGAGTGAGTGACTGAGTGACTGAGTAACTGACTGAGTGACTGACTGAGTGATTGACTGAGTGACTGAGTGACTGAGTGAGTGACTGAGTGAGTGACTGAGACTGAGTGACTGAGTGACTGACTGAGTAACTGAGTGACTGAGACTGAGTGACTGACTGAGTAAGTGAGTGACTGAGAGACTGACTGAGTAACTGAGTGAGTGAGTGACTGAGTGACTGAGTGAGTGAGTGACCGAGAGACTGACTGAGTAACTGAGTGAGTGACTGAGTGACTGAGTGACTAAGTGACTGAGTGAGTGACTGAGTGAGTGAGTAATTGACTGAGTGAATGACTGAGTGACTGAGTGAGTGAGTGACTGACTGAGTGACTGAGACTGAGTGACTGAGTGACTTACTGAGTAACTGAGTGACTGAGACTGAGTGACTGAGTGACTGAGTAACTGAGTGAGTGAGTGACTGAGAGACTGACTGAGTAACTGAGTGAGTGACTAAGTGAGTGAGTGACTGAGTGAGTGACTGAGTGACTGAGTGAGTGACTGAGTAACTGAGTGACTGAGTGACTGACTGAGTGACAGACTGAGTGACTGACTGAGTGACTGAGTGACTGAGTGACTGACTGAGTGACTGACTGAGTAACTGAGTGAGTGACTGAGTGAGTGACTGAGTGACTGAGTGAGTGACTGAGTGACTGAGTGAGTGACTGAGTCTGAGTGACTGAGTGACTGACTAAGTGACTGAGTAAGTGAGTGACTGAGTCACTGATGGAGCGACTCAGTGACGGAGTTACTGACTGAGTGACTGAGTGACTGACTGAGTGACTGAGTGACTGAGTGAGTGAGTGACTGAGAGACTGACTGAGTAACTGAGTGAGTGACTGAGTGACTGAGTGACTAAGTGATTGAGTGAGTGACTGAGTGACTGAGTAATTGACTGAGTCAATGACTGAGTGACTGAGTGACTTACTGAGTAACTGAGTGACTGAGACTGAGTGACTGAGTGACTGACTGAGTAACTGAGTGAGTGAGTGACTGAGAGACTGACTGAGTAACTGAGTGAGTGACTGAGTGACTGAGTGAGTGACTGAGTGACTGAGTGAGTGACTGAGTAACTGAGTGACTGAGTGACTGAGACTGAGTGACTGACTGAGTGACTGAGTGAGTGAGTGACTGACTGAGTGACTGACTGAGTAACTGAGTGAGTGACTGAGTGAGTGACTGAGTGACTGAGTGAGTGACTGAGTGACTGAGTGAGTGACCGAGTGACTGAGTGAGTGACTGAGTCTGAGTGACTGAGTGACTGACTAAGTGACTGACTGAGTGAGTGACTGAGTGAGTGACTGAGTGACTGAGTGAGTGACTGAGTAACTGAATGACTGAGTGACTGACTGAGTGACTGAGTAACTGAGTGACTGAGTGACTGAGACTGAGTGAGTGACTGAGTGAGTGACTGAGTGAGTGAGTGAGTGACTGAGTGACTGAGTGAGTGACTGAGTCTGAGTGACTGAGTGACTGACTAAGTGACTGACTGAGTGAGTGAGTGACTGAGTCACTGATGGAGCGACTCAGTGACGGAGTTACTGACTGAGTGACTGAGTGAGTGACTGAGAGACTGACTGAGTAACTGAGTGAGTGACTGAGTGACTGAGTGACTAAGTGACTGAGTGAGTGACTGAGTGACTGAGTAATTGACTGAGTGAATGACTGAGTGACTGAGTGACTGAGTGACTGAGTGACTTACTGAGTAACTGAGTGACTGAGACTGAGTGACTGAGTGACTGACTGAGTAACTGAGTGAGTGAGTGACTGACTGAGTGACTGAGTGACTGAGTGAGTGAGTGACTGAGAGACTGACTGAATAACTGAGTGAGTGACTGAGTGACTGAGTGACTAAGTGACTGAGTGAGTGACTGAGTGACTGAGTAATTGACTGAGTGAATGACTGAGTGACTGAGTGACTGAGACTGAGTGACTGAGTGACTTACTGAGTAACTGAGTGACTGAGACTGAGTAACTGAGTGAGTGACTGAGAGACTGAGTAACTGAGTGAGTGACTGAGTGACTGAGTGACTGACTGAGTGAGTGACTGAGTGAGTGACTGAGTGAGTGACTGAGTGACTGAGACTGAGTGACTTGAGTGACTGACTGAATGACTGAGTGAGTGAGTGACTGACTGAGTGACTGACTGAGTAACTGAGTGAGTGACTGAGTGAGTGACTGAGTGACTGAGTGAGTGACTGAGTGACTGAGTGAGTGACTGAGTCTGAGTGACTGAGTGACTGACTAAGTGACTGAGTGAGTGAGTGACTGAGTGACTGACGGAGAGACTCAGTGACGGAGTTACTGACTGAGTGACTGACTGTGTGACTGACTGAGTGACTGAGTGACTGAATGACTGAGTGACTGACTGACTCAGTGACTGAGTGTCTGAGTGAGTGACTGAGTGAGTGACTGAGTGAGTGACTGAGTAACTGACTGAGTGGCTGACTGAGTGACTGACTGAGTGACTGAGTGAGTGACTGAGTGAGTGACTGAGTGAGTGACTGAGACTGAGTGACTGACTGAGTAACTGAGTGACTGACTGAGTAACTGAGTAAGTGAGTGACTGAGAGACTGACTGAGTGACTGAGTGAGTGCCTGACTTAGTGACTGAGTGAGTGACTGAGTGAGTGAGTGATTGACTGAGTGAATGACTGAGTGACTGAGTGAGTGACTGACTGAGACTGAGTGACTGAGTGACTTACTGAGTAACTGAGTGACTGAGACTGAGTGACTGAGTGACTGACTGAGTAACTGAGTGAGTGAGTGACTGAGAGACTGACTGAGTAACTGAGTGAGTGAGTGAGTGACTGAGTGAGTGAGTGACTGAGTGAGTGACTGAGTAACTGAGTGACTGAGTAACTGAGTGAGTGACTGAGTGAGTGACTGAGTGAGTGAGTGACTGAGTGAGTGACTGAGTAACTGAGTGACTGACTGAGTGAGTGAGTGACTGACTGAGTGACTGACTGAGTAACTGAGTGAGTGACTGACTGAGTGAGTGACTGAGTGACTGAGTGACTGAGTGAGTGACTGAGTAACTGAGTGACTGAGTGAGTGACTGAGTCTGAGTGACTGAGCGAGTGACTGAGTGACTGACTAAGTGACTGAGTGACTGACTGAGTGAGTGACTGAGTGACTGACGGAGTGGCTCAGTGACGGAGTTAGTGACTGAGTGACTGACTGAGTGAGTGACTGAGTGACTGAGTGACTGAGTGAGTGACTGAGTGACTGAGTGACTGAGTCTCTCTGAGTGACCATGCACCTCCACCCTCCCCCATCGATGACGTGCACCTGTCGACCGCCTGTACACTACACACACCACACTGCCTGTATACACACACTACACACACTACACCGCCTGTACTCACACACACACACTACACCGCCTGTAGGCACACACACACTATGCACACACTACACACACACTACACCGCCTGTAGGCACACACACACTACACCTCCTGCACACACACACACCACACCGCCTGTACACACACACACCACACCGCCTGTACACACACACACACACAATACACCGCCTGTAGGCACACAGACACCACACCGCCTGTAGGTACACACACTACACCGCCTGTACACACACACACACACTACACTGCCTGTACACACACACACTACACCTCCTGTATACACACACACTCTACACCGCCTGTACACACACACTACACCGCCTGTACACACACACACTCTACACCGCCTGTAGGCACACACACACACTACACACACACACTCTACACCGCCTGTAGGCACACACACACTACACCGCCTGTACACACACACCGCCTGTACACACACACACCACACCGCCTGTACACACACACACACTACACCGCCTGTAGGCACACACACACCACACTGCCTGTACACACACACACACACTACACCACCTGTACACACACACCACACCGCCTGTACACACACACCACATCGCCTGTACACACACACACTACACCGCCTGTAGGCACACACACACTACAACGCCTGTACACACACACAGACTACACCGCCTGTACACACTACACACACCCTACACACACTACACACACTCTACACACACACTACACCGCCTGTACACACACACTACACACACACACACACACTACACACACACTACACACACTACACACACACTATACACACACACTACACACACACTACACACACACACTACACACACCACACACACACACTACACACACACTACACCGCCTGTAGGTACACACACACTACACACACTACATCACACACACTACACACACTCTACACATACACTACACACACACTACACTACACCACACACACTACACACACACACTACATACACACTACACACACACACTACACACACACTACACACACACTACACACACACCACAAACACACACACTACACACACCACAAACACACTACACACACACTACACACACACTACACACACACACTACACACACACTACACACACACACTACACACACACACTACACACACACTACACACACAACACTATACACACACTACACACACACTACACACACACTACACCGCCTGTAGGTACACACACACACACTACACACACACACCACACAAACTACACACACACTACACACACACACTACACACACTACACCCTCCTGCTACAGACGACGGGGGTTGCCACCAGTCAAGTTGTCACCAGCAACGCCCGGCAATTGGCGTCCGTGTGGTTTTTGTTTATAACACTTATAAACAATAACACGTATAAACAATAACCAAACGTGTAAACAACATTTGTATTTAAAGCTTTTGTGACTGCAGGGATTCATATTCTTGGTTCTTTCGGTAAGTCACGTAGAAGGGAAATAAAAAATATAAAACAATAAAATTCTCACGACGTTTCGACTGCAACACACGCAATCGTCGTCACGTTTAGATTCAAGTTGAGAGGAAATAAAATACAAATTACTGACGTTTCGATCACAACACAAGCGATCGTCATCTGGAGGATTTGTATTTTATTTACTTTTATTTTTGATGTTTTCGTGAAATATTTTTTCTATCTACGTGACTTTACCGAAAGAACCAAGATTATGAATTCCTGCAGTGACGAAAGTTTTAAGTCCAAAGTGTGTGAGTTGAGAGCATGTGGCTGCGATGATGAGCCACTTCGTGGAGCTGACACTTGTGATAACCGGGTCACTTCTGCAGCAACAACAAAAGCTACGTAGCTCAGTGGGGCCTTTACCTGGTAAAATACAAATATAAAGTTTAGTTTTAAGTTGCAGCGTGCCCGTGCCGAGTTGAACTCTGATGACAGGAGACTGCAGCCCGTGTCTCACCATAGACCCAGTGCTCACTGGGGAAAGAAATATCCGGGTTTGGTGGACAGTGGCAACCCTTCCTCTCGATGCATAACAACATCACACGGAGACACACACGGGGGGGGGGGCGGGGGGGACCTGTGCCGAGATGCACGCAACACGCACAGACACCTGCCCAGTGTCAAACCCACCCGGTGCCACGAGGTGGCGGTGACGTCACAGCACGTGGGCTAGAAGAGCAAGCCGCTCGTTCAGGTCCGCGTGGTGTGTGCCTCACGGGAGACCACCACCACCCCACCCACGTGCTGTGATTTAGGCGCCCGCGCTCTGATCGTTGTTGTGAGCGTCGCGTCTCTGCCCTCCGTTGACGTTGGAGGGCGAATGCCTCCCCAACTGCCCTGTAGCAGCGTCCTTCACGAGCCGCCTCCTCCACCCACAAAGGCCGATCTTGACACCGCTCTCATCAGTCATCCGCTCAACTCCACATCCTCCTGTACCTCATCGTTCCATCTCTTTTCCAGGCCCGTCTAGCCCCTTCTATCTGGCCAAACAGAAGCTGCTCAGGCAGGCGGTGGCTGGGAATGCAGACTACATGACCCAGCCAATGCAGCCTCGCCTGCCGAGGGAGCTCACGGATGAAACTTGTCCCAGATCTTTCAAGACTCCGTGAGCTCCTCACAATAATCCAGCCTGGTTAAACCCAGGAGGGATCGTGGGCAGGGCCAGCCTGAACGTTTCAATCTGGCGCAGATGCTCCGTTGAAGGGCTCCACGTTTCACAAGCATAGCGAAGGGAGGGCTAAACTGTGGCCGAGAAGACCCGGAGCTTCGTGTGAAGCGAACGACAGCCACCAGGCACACCTCCACTCTGCGCCACTTACGCGGCGGATGCAATCATAACGCTGCCCAACTGAGCCATCTCATGGGAGCCAGCCACGGAAGCTCCTCCACCCTCTCCACGTCCACCCTTCGCGCGCACATGAACCCCTATAGATGCGTAAAACACACACACACATGGTAAAACACTGGACCGCATTGTCAATTATCTCACGCGATCGCTGTGGATAAAGGAAATTTAAAAAAGAGATATCTATTTATGTTTAGTATGTGTTAGTGTAGCAAACTGAACGTGTTGTACAATAAAGTCGAGTGGTGTCGTGTTCCCCACAAGCAAAGCAAACACCGCGCCCCCTCTCTTCGTTATGTTGGGTTCGGGAGTTCTACCTCAAACGGGGAACCGGTAACCGTTTCCGGATTCGTGGTAACCGGTTTCGAAAAAAGCCCGGGACGGGTCACTGCCCTCTCTCGCCCTGCGCCCAGTTTCTCTCCCCTCCACTGGAACCAACTCCCACTGCAGCACGCAGAGAGCAGTCATCTTCACGAGCCTGCCGCCTCCACTCCTGCCTTCATAACAACAACCCCCATCGCCTCTCACCCTGCACGGCCTGCGGCAACTGCGACTCCCTGCACCCGCCCCCCAGCTACAACCAGGACTACCCCAACCCCCATCACTACCCCAACCCCTTTTACTACCCCCATCACTACCCCAACCTCTATCACTACCCCAACCCCCATCACTAGCCCCATCACTACCCCAACCCATATCACTACCCCCATCACTACCCCAACCCCTATCACTACCCCAACCCCTTTTACTACCCCCATCACTAACCCCGATCACTACCCCAACCCCTATCACTACCCCTATCACTACCCCAACCCCTATCACTACCCAGCCCCATCACCTGTTCTCCTGTCACCATAACGGCACCACCACTTCCAATAACAGTTGAGGCAGAGTGGATGGTGAGAGTTGGAGGCTGCGCGTGTTTACATTGTAAGCGTGATGCCGATTTTGGGAATTGCGACGTGAACAGTCATTACTCATCGTGGCCATCGAGCAACAGGCGAACCCTTCAATAATCGCAAAAGCATCGCTGCTACTCAGACTAAACGGATAACGCGTCGCTGGCATCGTGTGGGTTAGATCACCGTGTAGGTGTCATCAATATTCAACAATAACCCTCCACCACCTGGCAATGCCAATCACTTCACATTTAACGGCAACGTCGCTTCGCCTTTCAACAGACATTGCTGTGTTGCCAATACGCCGAATAACTCGGCACGTGTACCCACCACAATGTCCGCTTCGTCGTGTGCTGGCACGGTTAAACTTCAAACATCGGCATCGTTCAACCCCTGCACGACCACCTGACCCCAAACACCGTTCTGATGACGTGCGCGTACGTACGTGCACGTCATCAGAACGTGCGTGTACGTCATTAGTTTGTCTTCCTATTCCGTTCCGATGACGTACATACGGTGTATACCATCGACACGGAACCGGAAGAACAACTGAAGGCTCTCACAAGGCCATGCGGGAGGGCGAGTAACCAGTGTGGCTATCATAGAAGTGCGGTCGTGTCGCTACAGTTCTCGGCGGTGACAAACCACGTCTTTAAGAACAGCACGCAGTACCTCAATAAAATAGCACGTTGATATTTATCTACGCCACGGGAAAGGTTTAAAGTGGCTGCTGTATCTGGCACCAATATTCTGCTTCAGGATATTATTTGAAGGGAGATTCGGGGTGTTGAGGGAGGAAACGTAAAATAGCATCGTCCGTGGGGGGTCCGGCAGCTTGCCCTGCCCTGCGGATAGCCCCCCCCCTCACCCCCTCGCCCACAGGCAGCAGGGTCACGTGACACGACAGGGAGCCACCCGACGTGACGTCACAGCTCAACTACAACCACGAGCGCATTTGGTGTTCGAGCCACTCTTCAAAGCCACGTCGTTGCCTTGGTGTTTCACTTTAACGATTAAATTGTTTTTATTAAATATATCACAGCTCGATCCATGCTAGAACACACACACGCAGGTCTTCAAAATATCTCAAGCTGTGATATTTGAATACATTTTGTTATCGTTAAAGCGATTCTTGTCACATTTTCTGGATCTAAAGAGACGATTTGTGGATTGGAAATTGGGGATAGTGTGAGGAATGGAGCGTCGCGGATTACAGGAGTGGAGCGTCGCGGATTACAGGAGTGGAGCGACGGAAATTAATTCACAAATGGGCGGGCAGGGAGGTGGTCGCGCGCACGTGACGTCACAGACGTAGCCCTTGTCACGTCTCCCGTTTCCGTTATGCGAAGTCACTCCTCCAGCGTGACGTTGTCCGCGCCAAGCAAAAGCACTCGGATGACGTCACCCGCGCGAAACTCGCAGGAGGGCGATGACGTCACTCCCCACGGTGTCGTCATTTACCCGCACGAAGCCAGCCAGCGTGATGACGTCAACCTGCTGTAACCTGGGGCGACGATCGCGCTCGGCGCCGCGTGACGTCACGCGAGCCGCGTGATTAATCTCGCGGCCCCGCTCGCGCGCGATCGGAGCTTCTGGAACTCTCGCGAGATTTCGTGGCAGACCACTCGCTGCTGGGCTCTCTCCTCGTCCTCGATCCGCGCCGCTGCGTCTCCTTCGTCGCCGCCCCCGTCGCCCTCCACGCGCCGTCGCCGCGCGGAACCTCCTCGCCGTCTCCTTCCCCGACGCCGTCGCTGCCGGTTGCGGCTCGTGGCTGACGACTCCCAACACCCCACGGGTGAGCGCGCCCGCGCGTATCGCGGGGGCTGCACAATGGCCGTGTCGCCCCAACACCACCACCACCACCTCGTCTGTGTGTGTGGTGGTGGTGGTTGGGGGGGGCGGTGGTGGTGGTTTTGGGGGGGGGCGGTGGTGGTGGTTGGGGGGGGGGCGGTGGTGTTGGGGGGGAGTGGTGGTTGGGGGGGTGGTGGTGGTTGGGGGGGTGGTGGTGGGTGGTTGGGGGGGTGGTGGTGGTGGTGGTGTTGGGGGGGGGGCGGTGGTGGTGGTTGGGGGGTTGGTGGTGGTGGTTGGGGGGGGGTGGTTGGGGGGGGTGGGGGTGGTTGGGGGGTTGGTGGTGGTGGTGGTTGGGGGGGGTGGTTGGGGGGGTGGTGGTGGTGGTGTTGGGGGGGGGTGGTGGTGGGTGGTTGGGGGGGTGGTGGTGGTGGTGGTGTTGGGGGGGGGCGGTGGTGATGGTTGGGGGGTTGGTGGTGGTGGTTGGGGGGGGTGGTTGGGGGGGGTGGGGGTGGTTGGGGGGGTGGTGGGGGTGGTTGGGGGGTTGGTGGTGGTGGTGGTTGGGGGGGTGGTTGGGGGGGGGTGGTGGTTGGGGGGGGGGTGGTGGTGGTGGTTGGGGGGGGTGGTGGTGGTGGTTGGGGGGGTGGTTGGGGGGGGGTGGTGGTGGTGGTTGGGGGGGGGTGGTGGTGGTGGTGGTTGGGGGGGGTGGTGGTGGTGGTTGGGGGGGGTGGTTGGGGCTGGTGGTTGGGGGGGGGGGTGGTGGTGGTTGGGGGGGTGGTTGGGGGGGTGGTGGTGGTTGGGGGGGGTGGTGGTGGTGGTTGGGGGGGGTGGTGGTGGTGGTTGGGGGGGTGGTTGGGGGGGGGGTGGTGGTTGGGGGGGGGGGTGGTGGTGGTGGTTGGGGGGGGTGGTGGTGGTGGTTGGGGGGGGTGGTTGGGGCTGGTGGTTGGGGGGGGGGTGGTGGTGGTTGGGGGGGTGGTTGGGGGGGGGGGTGGTGGTTGGGGGGGGTGGTGGTGGTGGTTGGGGGGGTGGTTGGGGTGGTTGGGGGGGGGGTGGTGGTGGTTTGGGGGGGGGTGGTTGGGGGGGGTGGTGGTTGGGGCTGGTGGTTGGGGGGGTTGTGCGGTGGTGGTGGTTTGGGGGGGGGTGGTTGGGGGGGGTGGTGATGGTTTGGGGGGGGGGTGGTTGGGGGGGGTTGTGGTGGTGGTTGTTGAGTGGTGGTGGTGTAGCGGTCGCCGCGCTGCGCTACGAACCCCGGCGGGCACGAGTTCGAGTCCCGCTCATGGCCAACACGCGCTGACGATTATCATCCGAACCGGTCCTGGGCCTCCCCTAGGTCGACTCGGCCTGCTGCGGTGCGTCAACATCGCCGGCCGTGGTTGCTGGCCACCCACCCCCTCGTGTGCTGTGCCGGCCTTCATAGGTGCTGCTCGCTGACAGCACTTGCCCCCACAGTCTGTGACAGGCTATACGGGGGATCTTTGTCTTTGGGGGGGGGGAGCGGTCAGGGTTGTTGAACCGGGTAACCTGTGAACAACTGGTAACCGTTCTCGGGTTCCGGTTCGGACAAAGTCGGGGATCTTGGTTGACAGGCGAGCAGCGCGCTAAGGGCACGGGCCGCCAGAGTGACAGGGTGGTTGAAGTCGCCAGCGTGTGTGGAGGCGACGGTGCAGGCGCGCACCCCCTGCAGGTTGCTCGCTCTCACGCCACTGCTGGCCGAAGGGGCCCGATTCAAAGAGTGCGCACCAGAGGGACCTTGGTCTACTCTTCCACAGTGACGTCTGGGGACACTGCGGGACTTTTCTTAGTCGCGTGGCAAACCTCTTAACCCACCACCCCCCACCGCTAAAACCCCAAAGCTGAAATGGACAACGCGCGGGTGAGACCGTGGGTGAGGCCGCGGCCACCGATCCCCCGAACTACGAGACCCGTTCCCCCCTCAAGGCTGGACGAGGTTCAAGCAGCAGTGGGGACACTGAAGGGTGGACATGTGGGTGGTTGGGGCGTGTGGCATTTCACTCGCCTCTGGCCTGGACTTTGGAAGGCGCCGGGGCCCGCGGCACCTGAGGGCGCGGGTGATTGTGGCCCTGTGGTGTTGCCCGTCGTCCTGCTGCGCGGAGTGGAGACGTGGACGATCGAGAAGGCACCGAGGGCCCGACTGTGAATGCCTTTCGTTGAAAAGTCCCTGAGCGGCATGCCGAGGCGTAGCCGGAGAGATTTTGTTTCGAGACATCGACTGCGTCGTGGGAGACTGGCCTGAGACTCCGCTGGCGCGGGCGCCACGTGGGTTAGCAGCTCCGAATCGCTGCTCGTGCCCGGCTTGGAGGAGGCCCAGGGGGAGGGAAGCCGATACCCTCACGGCAGCAGCAGCAGCAGCAACCTCCAGGGGTTGGGACCAGGTAGGGAGCTGGCCTGGAGGCCGAGGGGGAACGTGGCGGCCACGCACTGTGTAGGCCTGGGCACCCCCCACCCTCACGTCTGATCTGAGTATCTGGTGATGCTGCTGCTTCTGCTGCATTGGGAGTGATGCACGACAAAATCTCAACACGTTCCGTATCAACAACAACAACAACACCGCCGCCGTGTGTGCGTGTGTGGCCTTCAAAGGAAACGATGTAATCGGTGACGTTTCAGGCAATGGCTGTTCTTTATTTCTCGGTTCATGTGCTGTGAATAAGATCCATTGCCAGACACCTCGCACACAACAGCAAAGGAACATGGCCATTACGTTAACATAACATTAACACGCCATTAAGGTAAGTGCATTGTCATTGTTAACATTGATCAAACGTTAACATGCCAGAAACATGGTTGGGTTAACGATCCACACATTGCTCCCACGTTAACATAAACAATCAAATTAATGTAATTGCTTTAGCAATATTGACATAATCATACAATGACATTAGGACATTACCACGGTACAATTAGCCTGACATTAACAATGTGAACATGATGGCGTCATTAACAAAAGCGCGTTAACTTTGACATAACGTTAGCACGACATTAACATTACCACGTTAACAACAATGTTAGCACGACATGAAAAAACGTAATTATAATAGCATTAATATGGGCAACGTTAACATTGGATCGTGAACATATAACCCTTAACTCTCCAACAACAGCACCATCGTGAACACACCATTATCACGAACTCTACACATTCGTAAATAGCACTGTGGTGGCTGTAAAATGCATATCTAGCAATGGGCGACGTTTCGGGCAGTGGCCCTTCCTCATTGGGAAGGAGGCGGCATGAACCAGTTGGGTTTGCTTTGATCCGAAACGCTTAGTGGCAATAATTTGAATGCGTGAATGCTGTGCTACAGCTGGCGCTGATTATAGAAGCGATTGGCGTTATCCTGGTCAACAGCTGTTCCAAACCGCGCATCAGCACTCTAGCACTTCGTACCATAGCGTCAACAAAGCTGCCTTCACATCGCGTCAACATCACGGCCTGAACGTAGCATCGACAGCATCGCCACAAGGTTAAGATAGCAACATCAACAGAACAGCCTTAACATGGCATCAAAATAACAGTGAACATAGCAATAAAACACAAGGTTAAAATAGCTTCAACAACATCACAAGGTTAACATAGTAACAAAAACATAATAGTCTTAACATAGCATCGGCAACATCAAAAGGTTAACATAGCATCAACAAGAGGACAGCGGCGTTACCATAATGACGCGATGGGAAAAATGTGTTGATTGCGATAATCGTGGCACAGACGGCAAGGGGTAACCGCCGTCATGGTAACCGGCCCACGGCCGCTGAGGTGGGCGCATTGTGCCCGTGTTGGACTGTGGTCGCGGTACCAAAGGCCAGGCTACGGCTCTAAACATGAATCCTGGTCATATATGCTTTCGCTTCAACGCAGGAAAAACAACTGCACGTGTGTGGACCTTGCATTGAGGACGAATCGAAACTGGCAGTCTGCTCCAGAGAGAGTCCTCCTCCGCACGAGCGAAGGAACCACAAGAGTGAATTTCACGGGAGCAGTGACCACGGTAGCAGCAATAGAAGAGTGGTAGGAGGTGGCTGGCTGCCGGCGAGCGAGTCACTGGACTGAATCGGTGAGTGCTGGATCACCAAATCGGCCTGTGACTGCTTTACGTAGAATTCCATCCGGTGAAGCGAGGTTGGAGCCGAGTGCTGCACCCTGGATGTGATGGCAGCAGGGTTACCTCTGTTAGGCGACTTTGTGCTGTGTGTGGCAGTAATAATTGTTTGCAGTTAAAGACAAAAGCTTTGGCACAGAACAGAAAACCCAGCGTATTTGATGCATCCTTAACCAGATTAGTAACATGGCCATTCCATGGCAGTTCAGATGATGATGTAATTATAACAATGTTATTAATACTGCACATTTAGTCTTTTATTACCCTGATATTCCCATGAATCACAATGTCCCTGCTTGCAGTGTTTGAGCAATGAATACATTCTTAATGAGTGTCAGCAGAGCTGTGTGTACTAATGCGGGATGAGGAGAGATCCTCGAGACAGAGACACTCGGACAGAAAGGCGATGCAGTGAGAGATGACACAGAGACAGATGCGCAGAAAGAGGGAGACACGACACGGACGCAGAGAGAGAGAGAGAGACCAGCATCGGAGACAAAGTCATGTCAGATGTGCAGAGAAGCAGACAAAAACATGCAGACAGATGACCAGCAGAGAGACAAAGACAAAGGTTTCTTATGGACAGAATTTGACAGACACAGAGGGGATGCAGCAGAGACACCGAGAGCTAGACGGAGAGAGAGACCGACAAAGACAGAATCAGACACGGAGACATCGAGAGATGGACACAGACAGAGACGTGGAGATAGAGACACAGACACTGAGAGGTGGACACTGAGGCACAGTAACACGTTCGGAGAATTAGTGGGTCCCTAAAGATGTTGGGCTCTGTGTTTGTATGTTCAACTTATTTTGCACAATACGTAGCTAACCGTGCTCATCTGGGACGAGACAGCCCTGGGTGGGCAGGTGGTGTTCCCTGGGC